GTCGCTTTGAGCATGATTTGGGCACGCGCCCGCAAGGCTCGCAATCCTTAGCGTACGCTCTATTAAAACTTTTTAGTATCTTGAACGAAGTGCATTTGGAGAAGAGTAAAGCTATACGCACTCCGGAGTGCACTTTGGACGGAATGGCTATACGCACTCCGGAGTGCACTTCGGACGGAATGGCTATACGCACTCCGCGGAGAGGGAGAGCTCATGCCGCTCAGGCCACCCTTTTCGAACGGCGCGTGTATGATTGGGGAGCTCGTTACCACAGCCCCCCGCCTGCGTTCACGCCGCTTCGCGGCGACAGTATGCGGCTGCAAATGACAAAACTTAACCAGTACACGCTGCTTCGCGGCGTCTAGCCGGCAACCCAAGCTCCGCTGTCCCCGATCGCACCTCCGGAAAGGGAGTCCCATACCATTTAGTTCTGCGAAGTTCGTCGACAACACTGTTTTTTTTTAGTGTTCATCGCAAAAAAGAAATGTCGTAAATATCGCCAAATGCCTCGACAAAACAAAATGTTCGAGAAAAAAAAAGGAAAAAAAAAGTAGGCCCACCGGGGATTGAATTTGCGTCCACTTGCGTAATGCGGGGGGGGGGGGGGGGGGGGGGGGGGGGGGGGGCTGGCTGGGCTGGGCTGGGCTAGAGCACTATATAGCTCCTACAGAGCAGAGTAGCGCAATCCTTTGATCTGCGTGTATCGCCGACAACATGGCCGACAGAGCAGCGCGGGCGCGAGTCACGTGGCACTCAAGGTTCCAGGAGGCGGCCCGCCCTATCGGAGAATACACGGAGATCGACTCAACACGGCAGATTAAAAAATAAACGTCAAGTTCACACTTTTCAAAACTAGTCTGTCGTGAAGTTGGTAAAGCACTAAACACTTTATCAAAGTTTTCATAATAATGATGTGTGTGAAAATTTTGAGAATGCAATTTCCAAGGCAATGGCGTTTGAAGCAGACGATTTTTGTACTCAGCGGAGATGGACTTCCTGGGTTGGCCGGAGCGGGTCACGTGGACGGTGCGACGTCTCCGTGACGTTGCTGCGTCGTCTGCTGCGTAATGCCGCTCAGGCAATTTTGTTTTTTTAAATTACGCCCTTACATGGCACGCAACTGAGCGCAAATTATTCAAAAATGTTTCTTTATTATGCCGAAAACTATTGACGTTCCGTACATCCCCACAATATTGAAGAAACAGCGATTTTCTCACGTTCCCCATGCATTTCTGATCTGAGTTGGAACCCCCGGGCGTTCGCCGCTAGTCACCGAAAGAGAGCGTTCTAGATTGCGGTACTCTGCTCCGAAGGAGCTATATAGTACTCTAGGCTGGGCTGGTCTGGGGGGCTAAGAAGAGGAGGATGTCATTTTTACGACTGAAGAAGAAAGTATTAAAGAAAATTCATCAGCACGCACACTTCGAAATCCTGTGCTGTCCGAAAGAATATTATACACCTGAACATTGTGTTGCGGCAATTCTATGGTAAAACTTTTATTAAAGGACACATGCAAAGGAAAAAAAAAAAACGTTTTTTTAAACAGCTTAGATGGAAAAAGGATATCATAAAACAATTTTACAACCAAGAAAAAATTTTTTAGAGTTCTATTTACGGCGCTATACGAATTTGTAGTTGGCGCCGGCGGGCGCCGCAGAAAAGTGGCTTTTGACGGGCCCATATTTGTCACGTGGTGCTTGCGCTCTTTCGGAAGCTTCCTATGGCCTCTAAAAGTAACTTATTCATCTTTGTTTGAAGTATAACAAAAAAACTAAGATGAATAAGTAACTTTTAGAGCCCAAAGGAAACTCCTGAAAAAGCGCAAGCAGACGTGGTAGACCTGTGCGCCGGTCAGACGACGGCGGCGGCGCCCCGAAGCCATCCCGAAGCAGACGAACTTGTGCGGCGGCGGCGACGGCGGCGTGGAGAAACGCGTGGAAGCGGCGTTCGCACAACGCTCAGCGTGCGGCGGCGACGCAGCGCGGCGGCGCGCGGGCCTACCACGTGACCAGCGGCGGCTCCCGCGAGCGCAAACTACACATTCGTATTGCGCCGTAAATATAGCTCTAAAATTTTTTCTTCTTCGTTGTAAAATGGTTTTATGAGATCCTTTTTCCATCTAAGCTGTCTAAAAAAAATGTTTTTTTCCTTTGCATGTGTCCTTCAAAGCTGTCAAAGTTACAGACATAACAATCGACTGCAGCAGACCCAAGGAGGATAGAAGGGTAGGAGAGGGCATGAGGTTGACCGCGTAGCCTCCACAAGCCATGCTCCCTTGACGCCTCGCCTCTTTCTCATTTTCCTCCTTACTCTCCTCACTTATCAGGCCAACGTGACCACATCACGTGACCGTAGCTAGCCTTCGTCTTACTATGGGGTACTAGAATACACCACAGTCTAGCCTTCGATCTGATAAAACCTACCGAACGAAGCGTGCGCGAGCCTGCAAGGAGTCCTTCTACAATCAACCATCCATCTCACATGTGACATGTCACGCGCACCAATCGCCAGAGAGATCTGCGGTCACGCTGGGCACAAAATCGTTTAAACTTTTTATGACTAGGCTTCACCAATCTTGCAACGTGCCCCCTCCTAGTACTTATAACCTCCTTGAGCAGGCCCCAATGCATCAAAAGGAACTAAGAAACAGTAAATCTTTTTCGGCTTATTGTTTCCCAGTCGATACTTACTTCTATACTAACATGCTCCTACATAAAATTAGAACCTTGTGTTCTTTTCTTGGACCGTTGGGAGTTGCAGGCTTTCTGCCTTGTGCAGCCGTTTTTAGAAAAAAAAAAATCTTTTTAAAACAATTCTGTGGCAGGACACAGTAGGATTTGCCACTAATTTCGGGTCGGGTCGGGTTGGGTCATATCATGCCATTGAAAATTCCCTGGAACATACACCGGACAAGGAGATGGAGGACGAAATATCAGCATACGTATGAGGTCTCACTGCAAATCTTCCAGCAATTGCAAATTAATAAATTGAAAAAAATTCGGTTGGCCAGCCAAGAAAGCATTAGACCTGGAGTGCAGTACCTATGGGCATCACAGAAGCAACATTGCAGTGGAAGGCTGTGTTCTAATGAGAGGGTCGAGGATAATCATTTCCAAAGCAATGAGAAAATAAGTATTGGACAGCATTCACCAGGGTCACCAAGGCATCGTTAAATGCAGAGCACGCGCCCGTCAATCTGTGTGGTGGCCAGGGGGTGTCTAAGCAGTAAGAAGAACTGCTAAAAGGGTGCACACAGTGCATTCAGGAAACAATCAACCGCCGAAAGCCTTTGATACCAACTCTGTTTCCTGAACAGCCTTGGCAGCCAGTAGGCATAGACCTTTTTTACTCGAAAAACAAGTGGTACTTGCTAGCGACGGATTATTACTCCAGATACCCCGAAGTTGTTCCCTTGGCCAGCTTGACAGCGGTTTCTGTCGTCGACCATATGAAGTCTATCTTCGCAAGACACGGGACGCCAGAGACCGTATGCAGCGACAACGGACCACAGTTCCAAAGATTACTTAGATCCGAGTTCTCCAAGTTCTCCAAAGAATGGGGTTTTGTTCACAAAACCTCCAGCCCAATTTTTCCACAGAGCAACAGTTTTGTGGAAGCCAGAGTAAAGATCATCAAGAGGAGCTAGAAGAAGACGGATGATGCAATCAAACCGTGCCGCCCCGCTTGCAAACGGGTTTAGCCCAGCTAAACTTCTAATGGGTCGAAGAATTTGTACATCTGTCCCAATTGTTCCTTTTTTGTTAAAACTTGTTACTCCCGAATCTCAGAAGCTACGGAACTGGGAGGAACAAAACAAGGAGAAACAGAAACGTAACTTCACTATGAGACACTCAGCACGTCTGTTGAAACCTCTACAAAGCGGACAATGCGTCTGGATAATTGACCAGAGGACAAGCGGAATGGCTCAGACTGAAGCAGGTCCACCTTGCTACTACCAGGTCAAAACGGACAGTGGGATTGTAAGACGCAACAGATTCCATCTGGTACCGTCGACTCCAGCCTCTTCTGGGGTTACGGCTACCAGTGACAGGGTACAGCCTCTACCAGAGCTACCAGCAGCTCCTTCCAATGGGCCACAAGGTCTGAGTGTCACTAGAAGTGGACGGACAGTGAAGCCGGTTAATAGATTTAACGTGATACTATCCACCAACTGACCAAAAGGGGGAGGTGTTGAGCAAGCCAGGCTATGCGCGCTATCGCGTGCCGAGAGTGGGGAGCTGCTAGAAGACGACGAAGTAAAGGACACTCTTTGTCTGGGCTCGTGTTCTTGCCCTGCTAACACAGCACTATCATGTCCATGGGCAAGCAAATGTCTACACAAAACTCTGGACATCTACCGCCATCTATGAGCGATGGCGGCAACCTTTCCAGCCTTTCCCCTTTTGTTTTCACCAGAGTGGAATGGCTAAATTTCTCTAGGCGTCATCCTAGATGTCGTCCTTGAGGTCATCCGAGAGGTTGTCCTCGAGGCCGTCCTAGAAGTCATCCTTGAGGTTGTCCTAGACGCTGTCTTTGATGTCGTCCTAGACATCGTCCCTGAGGTCGTCCTAGGCATCGTCTTCTAGGTGTCGTCCTCGAGGTCATCCTAGAAGTTGTCCTTGAAATCGTCCAAAAAGTTGTCCTTGAGGTTGTCCTAGACGTCGTAAAGATAACAGCTTCGCTGGTCTTCCATCTTCACATGAAGTGGAAGGGCTCTACATTTTTTGTTATTATTGTTTTTTTTTCATGAATTATTATCCCCCGATACAAAGTCACTCATCGTCGGTAGAAAGTGCATACATGACGCGCAACCGAAAAATATTTTATTTTGCTTCCCAGAGGCGCTGCCCGAACTAAGAGCTGCAGGCCTATTCACGTAGCCCTAATGACAATGTTTCGTTTGTGAGAAAAGCAAAAACAGCGATCGCTTGTTCACGCTAGCTGTGTCGTTTTTCGTGCCTTGCCAACCTGTCCTAAGGTCGGAAGTTTCGGGGCTGCAGGGCGTCATGGCAACGCTTCGACGTCTGGAGCGAGGCCTGTGGTGTCTCAGGCCCGCGACCAGAGGTGTCCCGGGTGCATCTTCACGCCGGACGCTGTCATGGAGTCCACGTCTCCGGCAGATGGAAACCACAACAGCTATCTACCCGCACCGTAGGTCACAGGCCCTGCCGTTTCCGAAGACTGACCGGGAGACCGCAGCCGTGCAGGATGAGGCACTCTACAAAGAGAGAACAGTCACCGTAAGTTTAAATACTTTAGTTGGGTATGCATCTTGTTACGCGAAAGTTCAATGGCCTCAATGCCCCTTTGCATAGTTGAAACCATGGGACGGGTATGACCTGTGGGATTCCCCCTTTGAACTGGGAGGGGTGGCTGACGCGATCTATCCTCGTGGACAAACTTTGAGACGGCGGAGACAGCTTTCTCTGCTGTCTTGGCGATCCAGCATCTCGGTCAATCGGCGGCAGCTCTCTCCCTCAATGCAGCACGAAAGTGTGACAGCGTGCACAGCGGGATGTGCACATGTATTTTCCTGGATGTGGGCTGTCTAATGCAAATTTGGTGCTGTAAGTGCACTGTCTAATGCAAATTAGCAAAGTAGAATGTATTAAATGTATTAGAATGTATAGCCTATTTGGAACTTTCAGCAATGGCTGTACCACGGTGTGTGCATTGCTCTCCCTAGCACCTAGATAATCGGTTTTAGAATGAAGGTGGTTGATTACACCTCCTTGACATGTAAATATATATATGTATATGTACATATATATATATATATATATATATATATATATATATATATATATATAATCTAAAATATGCAGATGAGTGAACCGTACTTGAACCGTGAATGAACCGCGAAGATTTGACAAGTGCAGCCGTAGTAATATTGTGAATGAAGAGGGGAGAAAGTGGCTGGCGAAAAATTGGGCCAGGAGCGGTGATCAAACCCGCAGCATTTGCCTCTCCCGGGCGACGCCGTAACCAATCAGACCATCCCAGCCACTGGTTTTGGTGGACTCAATTTTTGACCAGGTCTCTATGTACTGTTAATTTTGAATTCGCTTAAATAGGTGGATGACAGCCATTGCTGACTTAAGGCCCATGCTAGTTCCGAGTTGCAGCAGTGACATGGCACATCATTTTAGCTTGCAAATGTCTGAAAGGGCCCGTCTTCCACCATATCTAGTCGCTCCTTCCCATAGGGGCAGGCTGCACCATATATATAAAATTGAGTCCGCCGAAACCAGTATCCGGGATGGTCTAATCGGTTAAGGCGTCTCCCCGGATAGGTGCAGGTGACGGGTTGGATCCCTGCTCCTGTCCCAATTTTTTGCCAGTCTCTTTCCCTTTCCCTTTCTCTACCTTTAATGCAATAAATTCAATAATCACTTTCTCCCCTCTTCGTTCACAATATATATATATAAGGTAAGGTTCTTATATCGCTCGTGTTTTACGGAATTAGAATTGCTTATGCGTTGCAGGCTCAACCTCGTAAAGCTGTTCTTCGACGATCATCCAGCCAACAGCCATTTTGATAAGAACTAGTGTGCCCCCTTTAGGCCGTGAAAGTGGCGAATATTTGCCATCATGCCATGCAGGTGCACACGTGTGCGGAGCTGTTCCCCGAGTGGAAGCGAAGCCGTCCCGGCTGGAAGCATGTGCGAGCGGACGGAGTGGACGTCCCGCTGCCCTACATACACACGGGTCTGGATCGCGGCTGTGCGGAGGGGCCAACCGTGCTCGCGGTGCACGGAGCCCCCGGCACCTACCGTGAGTTCGACGCACTCACGCCTGTGCTCGATGTCCACGGGGGAGCGTCGGTCGTCGTGCCCACACTGCCAGGTGGGTTCCTCCAATGTTCAAAGCAAGTGATCTCGCTCGCTCGCCGTCGGTGACACCACATTGTGCAGTATCCACCAAACTTGTACAGGAAACACAAACAATGATGACAATGTGATAAATGCAAAGGTGCAAGCAAGCTGGACAAGAATGACGATAATAATCCTTGGAGAAGGGGAACAAGGGAGACAAAGGACAAACAAAGATCTCCGAACACAGCTAGGGGACTGGTGCGCGACCGAAAAAAATCCACCTGGTCCTGGTATCGAACCAGGGACCGCTCCATTTCCAGGGGAGCGCTCTACCAACTGAGCTAACCAGGAGTTAGACGTCAGTAGAAGACGTCAGCTCCACTGACGTCGTAACTCCTGGTTAGCTGAGTTCGTAGAGCGCTCCACTGTAAATGGAGAGGTCCCTGGTTCGATACCAGGACCAGGTGGAGTTTTTCGGTCGTGCACCAGTCACCTAGCTGTGTTTGGAGATCTTTGTGCGTCCCTTGTCCCCCTTGTTCCCTTCTTCCAGGGATTATAATCGTCATCCAAACTGTGTCTTATCTCGTGGGAGTGCTATCCTAGAGTGCGGTGCTCGGAATGCATCTCCGACCGTTGCGTTTAGCATCCCGTTCCACCCGTGCATCCAAAGTGGCTCCGAAATGGCAACAAACTACGTCGCAAAATCTGGATCGTCGTGCTGTCAGATGTCGCGATTTTGGTGGTTAAACAAGGCGGTAAGTTGGGCGAGTTGGTTGAACATCTTCAAACGTGAAAACAGCGCAAAAATTTGACAAAGAACGAGTGAAAGAAGTGCACAGACAAAGTGCTGACTATCAACTAAAGTTTAATTTTCAAGCGAACCAGAAAAATAAACACAGGGAGCATAGGAAAGAACCAATCAAGACACAAAAATACAACCCAACCGACAAGATTTCTACTATGTCATCACCCTCACACTTGCCTGCCATTCTCCCTGATAAAAAGGACTTCATCATCCCCCAAGTGCACCGAAGGTGCGCTCACACATTCCCCTTCCCCTTTTGATAAAATGAAAAATGCCTCTTCAATCTCTCTGGCGGTCTTACTTTTTTCTTAACCTGCAACAGGATATGTCTCGGCTCCAGCAGGCTCTTTTTTCTCACTTCTCTATAAAATAGGGATATATTTCTGGCCATTGCAGTAGTAAAAAAAAAAAAATGCTTAAAAAAAATCCAGGAGTGATTTCTCTTGCTTTTGTGCCACAGTTTTCACTGTGAGACAGTTCTCTGCAGGCAGCCTTTGGTTTACTAATTAGGCCAGCGTTTTCTTCTCTTCCTCAGACTTGGAGTTCAGCATGAAAACGCAGAGTTTTTGGCATTCTGTAGAGGAGAAGACAGACCTGCTCAAGAAGTTCCTGGAAGCCATCAACGTTCGAGAGTAAGTACAGGCCACGCCACTCTCCTCCGAGACTTGCTTGCTGCAAGTCATTTCCACAAGTTTTGAGTGAGGGCAAAAATACCGTACCTCCAGCTCCAGCGACTGATGACATTGGCACGCCGGCCTAATCGACATGAACATTTTCTCCGCACCTGGTGCATAGCTGGCACCTGATGCCTAAAAATCCCGCCCCCCCCAAAAAATTTTTTTTTATACACAGCACATTTTGTTAATTGACCTTGTTCAGAGATCACCGGGCGCATGCACCAACTTTGCGAGAGGGGAGGAAAGGGAAAGGTGCCATTTTTGGGGGCTCTCTCGTTCTCTCAGTCGCTTGGAAAGTGCTGGTTCGACTTGACCCCCTCCGCTATTCTCGCGGTTTGGCTTCATAGTCGTCACGCCTCACCACTGCGCAGATGTAGGCTGTACAAAAAGCAGCAAAAACGGTTAAAATGCAAGATCCTATAGAGCTCCGGCAGCCTTCTGCGGGTGGTGCACGAAAGCACCCGATTTCAAATGCCTCGCCCTTTTTGCACCGCTTTCAAGAGCTCTCGTTTCAGAAGCCTATGACCCGAATCCTCCGCGTAAACTGGCCGGCTCCTCATTGTGAATGCGGGGTATTCTGCTTTTAACTGGAAGGCAGTAAGTGTGCACGTGAGGTTGTGTAAATCCGAGGGGTCACACTGCTCATACATCATGCAAAGGACAGTCTGCAAACACAAGTCACCGCAATATCCGTGGTTCGAATGCCACGTGCCAAGTTTCTTCTTGAACTCATTGCCATCCGGCATTTGAAGCCATAAATATGCCGTACCCAGTACTCGTGTAAAGAATATGGACTTTTAACAAACTGTTACCATGTTTCACATACCGCACTACCGGAGCCTTTGAAGCATGTTTTTGAGCGTGGGCCCCACGGTCACGATATCACCCGGGCGGTCGCTTAAAAGCATGCTTCAAGGCTCCGGTAGTGTGATATGCGGCAGCGGTTTGCTAAAGGTCCTTAATAATTGGATGAAGCTTTCCATTCTTCAGGCGTCCGCGATACACATCCACGTCTTGCCACGTTAAAAAACAGATAATATCAGTCACTGGCAAAATATTGAAAGCGTGCAAAATGGATTAAAGTCTTACGGCGACAGAACCCTGACGGAATGCCTTGGGAACCAACCATGTACTCTCCCGTTCGCAGGGCCCACTTCGACGGAGGTTTGTAGACAAAGCTGAGTTCAAAGAGATATTTTCTCATATCTTCTGATGGTGCAGGCGAGCCCTCGCGATATGAAGACCGCCCGTATGTCTCCTCGTCTGAGTTTGATGACATTGCCCCGGGTACGGCGATGCCCCGTACGCTCGCGCAGTGCACAGGACGGCAAAGTGACGGAAAGCAATAAACTTGAACAACTTTGGCGCTCAAGGAGAGCGAAATCAGCTGTTTGTCGTGGCCGGGCCAGCCGAGTGCAGCTGTAGCCTCCACCGTGGTAAGGAGAAACTAGCGCCACAAGTCGCAAGTGGCAGAAAGTACGGCGTGAGACTGAAAAAAGTAAATCAGTCAGTCAGTCAAATGGGCCAAAACTTTTTTAAAACAGGGCGGGCATTTGTAGGAGGAGTGCCTCTGGTATCGTGAATAAAATAAAATCAAATCAAATATTGGGAGACCGCCAGATGGCGCCACCAATGTCGTTGGCATGCGCATGCGCGGCAGGCGCCCTCCGGCCCTCCTCCTACCCCTCTCTCTGCTCTCTCCTCTCTCCCTCCCGCTCCTTTTTTTATTATTATTATTTTTTTTTTTCGGTTTGTTTTTCTTGTTTGCTCGATCGGTGTCACGCTGGCCGCTGCGAGCGGCCAGCGCGGCACCGGTTGAGCAGACGCGCCGCGCGCGCTACACTTCGCAACAAATGCGCTTCGCGAGATATTAATTACCAGTGCAATAAAACAAAAACAGCACGTTCATTGAAATGTATATTTTATTGAACACCATTCAAATTAGTTGCAGTATTCCAAGCACGTATTTACAAACTCCGTCGGCAGTCCACCGCCCCTTGAGCGGAACCAAGAACTGTAGTAGGCAGTAAACGTTATCAAATATGTAAAAACCAAATTAACTACTTTAATGTACAAACTAACAGAACAGCACTTATAATCGAATTATCTAAATGCGTCTATAAACAACTCCTACAAACAAAAATGCTGAATACCCAAACAAACTAATCAACTCCGATATAAAGCAGGCTTGCATTTTAATTTAATTAACGCAGGGTTGCAGGCGAGCTCCATAAGAATAAATGATAAATAAACCATAAACAAACCCGCTAATTGGCAACGCAAAGAAGAAAAAAAAATCTTCTGGAGTGACTGATTGTGGGCGCTTTTAGGTACTCTATCCTAGAAGCTGTCAAATTAACTAAAGACTCTGACAGCAACTCACTTGGAGGAACCAGCCCTTGCAGCAACGGATTCGTAACAAAAACGATGAGGCACGTGTTTTTCCGCAAACGAATCTTCCTACATTTTGCAAACGCGGTTGCACCGGCGTGCTTGCTGCACAGACGACACGGACGCAGCTTGCTCACCGGCAGGCTTCCAAAGTCCTGGCGCTTTGCATACGCAATCCATTTCGATGCTGTAATGGAAAGATTGAGAGATCATACATTTCAATGCTTCCAGTTTCGAACGTTGACAAAAAAGTTTGATATAAAGGCTCACCCGCCGTTTGTTGGAAACCGGAAGAATAAGCACTCCGAGTTCTTTTGAAGAACTGTTACTCCACTTGGCCGCTCAGTAGACTCCGTAATACGCCGTCATGAGGCACGCAACCCACTCGGCAGAATCTCTGTCAAACTAGAGACGTCTCTAATCCCTCTAATCATTTTCTGAGCGCAGACGCGCAGCTCCGTACTCCGTAAAATCTACACTTTCGATTTCAACACGCGCGGAACGGTTTGAAAGCTTGGAGTGACGAGCTCAAGCAAAAAGAGAAGACAAAAACGGTCGTTTGCCCTCACACTGAAGGTTGGTGATTGGTCGGAAGAGCCCAGAGTGCTTCGGTTTTGGTAGCGAAGATCCTATTCACGACGCCAGCGCTCAAAAGTACAGCGGCGAAACAGTCTGGCGTGAGACTGTTGGCTAGACCAACGAATCTGCTCTTTGGGTGGACGTACGAGAGAGAAGCCAGCGACGCGGCGCCCCAATCGGCCCAACCGGGAACTCCGTTAGCTGCATTCGGCTGGCCGGGCCTCATAAACAGAGCTCTAAAGCTCCGCACAAGGTGGATAGTTGGGTCGGGGTCGAAACCGATCACCATTACTTTCCTTACATAACATTCTGCCTTGAAAGCCGGCCCCTTTTTCTGTTGCTTGCACGATGTGACACCGAATTGGTGATTGAGTGACCCCGAATCGACGGTATGAACCGACGCAGTGTCGGCGGTCTATCCATCTTTCAAGGTATAAAGACAAATGAGGTCGTCTGTATTTTAGATAGTGGCTTTTGTTAATCCTCCAGAGTCGTCCTCAGCCATTTCGAAGAAAAGATACATCCGAAGTGACGACAGAAGGACACGTTCAGAATGGCAAAAGGTGGAACAATTCCAACAGAGAACACACGTAAACGCATAAACCAGGAGACGCGCCAGGCTCTCTGCCATGGACGACAGAGCCCCCAATGTTTCGAGTGATTTCCGCGAGGTGATCTCGGCCAAATTCTGAGAAAGGCCCATTGCCGGCTTTAGTAGCTTGCAAAAAAAAAAAAGCTTGTACCATAATCAATAAAACGTCAACAAACTTTGTCACTCACAAAATTCATCGCTTCTCGTCATACTGAACAATGCACTGCAAAAACAAATCCTTCTATAGTGTGCAGAGACCAGAAAATGTGGTATTGAAATCTGGATTACGGTAGGTGGAAAAACGTTTGGTCCTGAAACGTTTTGTATCATTTTTCGTTGAGTTTACATAAAATTTTCACATCATAACACCAAGGTTGTGCTCATTTATTTTGAAAAGAAAGGAGACATCATACTTTTTTGTTTAATATCAACCTTACCAACATGCTCATTATGAATACAGTGCAATCCACTTACGGTGATGAGAAAACTAAAAAATTCAATCGTTAATACCGAATATTGTTTTATCTGGACTAGAAATCGATTGTTTTTAGTCTGGAAACTAAAAAGAACTGATAGTTATAAGCGATACACCATTATATGTGGTATCATTATAAGTGGATTGGATACATATAAGCTCATTACTTTACTTTATTGCAGTTTTTAAGGAAGTCATGACTTCATGACCAATGTTCGTGACCAACTGTTAGACAACACCTGATATATATTCTACAAACAGTGAAGAGTTCAGCAAGATCATTATTTTAATCTTGGCACCATCCTAAAATAAGTTATCACATGCTGAATTAATTTTTTTCATTCATTTTAAATTTGTGGTTATACTTGTTGGCAACGAGAAAAATATGTATTCCTTCCTTCCTTCCACTGTCAGTTTTCTGCTGTTTCAGAACCTAAAACGAATCATTAATATTCAGGTTTTAAGTCCAAGGGCACCGGGTCAAAACTTTGTGCTGTGACTGGAAAGACAAATTGTTGTAAAATAGCAAGGAAATCTTTTTTTTATGCAACTTTGAATGGGCACCTTCTGAATGTGGTCATTGGAAAATGCATAGTTTTCACTTTATAAATAGAAAACTAAACTGCGTGCGCATTTCTTTTATATTAATTTTTTAAGATACAGCCTCCCCTAAACCTGTAAAATCACCTCAGCACCATGTATCAACTGGGTGTTGAATGTGGGAGCCCTAAACCTTGTGTCACGCTTTGAAGAAAGTCAAGAAACCTACTGATGAACTTTGGCTCTGGAGAGATGAGACTTGAGGGTGGCATGACTTCAGAGAGACTGACTTCATAGAAACCCTGATTTCATAGACTCTTACTTCATAGAGACTGTGATTTCCGAGAGACATGGCTTCAGAAAGGCTTTTGCTTCGGAGAGAGACTTAGTAGTCACTTTATAGAGATTTTGTGACTTAAGAGAGACTTTGTGACTTTATAGAGACTGCGACTTTAGGGACATTCTGTGACTTTAGAGGCTATGTGAGTTTAGAGGTGCTCCGTGGCTTTAGGGACTATGTGGCTTCAGAGAGACTGATGCTGTTTCAGGATCGACATGGTGGTAGCACACAGCAGCTCCATGTACCCGATATTATGGCTGGCCCTCAAGGAGCCAGACATCAGGATCAAGTCAGCAGTCTTCATTGCACCCCCTGGCTGCAGAAGAATCTCGTGAGATTTGCTCACTGCACATGTTCTCGTGTCAACTTGCATGCTAGTCCACTGACTGGGCCGGATTTATGCGGAGAGCAAGTCGTCTGCTTCTTGCGCAGGAGTTGCGGTGACGTCAGAACGACGCTGAGCTCCGATTGGCTTTGATTAAAAGGATAGTGGGTAGACCTTAATGCTAGATGCCTTGAAGTCTACCCACTATTTGTTTTTCAGTCCACTAATAAGAGCTCGGCGTTTTGACATTGTCGGACCCCTTGTGCAAGAAGCAGACGAACTTGCGCTCTGCATTGAGTTTGGATAGGGTCAGGTTTCTTCAAGCTGCTGCAAAAAATTTTGGATTCAATTTTTTTTTTTTTTGTGCAAAACCATTTGTGCTAGGGTGACCACTTGTCCCGCGACTCGCGGGACTGTCCTGCATTGAGGGCTCATGTCCCGCGTCCCGCAAGAAATTCCAAAATCTTCAAAAAGTCCCGCATTTCACATTGTCGTAACATTCACTGCGCAAATTATGGCGCTTCCGAACAACGGGCAACGGGGAACCGCGGAGGTCGCTGATAAATGTGTGAATCTCGATGGTATGTCATTTTCTTGCCAAGCACTGCGGGAAGCAACCGTCGTTCTTGCAGGAGACTGACGCACATGCACCGTTGTGCCTCTCCCCTTGATGGCAAAATATTGCAAGCGAAAATTGCTCGCCGAAAGCTGAAAAATAAACTATTGTAATTAGTTGCAAATCCTATTGTATCATGCGAAAGGGTTGTTGCGGAAAGCTTTTTTTTTGTTTTTAGTGAAGACGGCCACAGAAGGCAAAAAACCTGCAACTCACAACGGTCAAAAAAAAACAATAACATAAGGTTTTATTTTTGTGTAGGTGCATGGTAATATAAGAGTAAATATCGACAAAAAACAATAAGCCAAAAGTTATTTGCTGCTTTTTATTTCCTTTTGATGCATTGGGGTCTGGTGCAGTCGATCTTTATGTTTTCAACTTAGATACTTTTAATAAAATATTTACCATGACAAATAAACAAAAGTATATCACTGTGAGTGAAACTTATCGTAGTTTAATTGCCGCGTACGATTTTCAGGTGTATAATACGCTTTCGGACAGCACAGGATTTCGGGGTGTGCGCGTTGGTGAATTTCCCTTCATACTTATTTCTTGAGTCGTGAAAATACCGTCCTCCTCTTACTCTCCTCCCCGCCCGGTCAGGGTCCCGCATTCCACCGGCAGGAAGGTGGTCACCCTAATTTGTGCGTTTATATTTACAATAGACAACATGTCTATAGAAAAAACGTATAGGTAGTGTCTTTTTTCACCGCAGCACGCATCGCCATATGCTCATTTTCCAACAAAATGTAGCGCTGGTGGTCCGGACCAGATGTCAAAGTTTGAGTCTTGACCATTACCTCAATAAAAAGTTACGCGATTATCTGAAAATTAGTTATAACTTTTAAATAATAGGACGGTTAGTTCTGAAACTTTGGCGTCACGTCCGGGCCGCTGCACTACATTTGGGCAGAGAGTAAGCCTTCGGCTGTGCATACTTTATCTTTACGACGACAAGAACCGTGTAAATTTGTTTGGGGGTCGGTACAGCCTGTACATTAGGCAGTGACCGACAACAATATTGAGTGAATTAAAAATGTCGACCAGCCACTTTTTGTATACAATCCTATCTGAAGTTGCGCAGCAAGAGCCTTCAAAATTATGTCTGTGTATCCCAGAAAGGAGACGTTTTGGCTGGTAATGATTCCGTCCAGGGCTCCCAGCGTTTGAGTGAGGAGTGCGAGAAGGGAAGGGGAAATGAAAAGTTGGGGGGGGGGGGGGGAGGGGATTTTCTGCCGGGCTGAAAGTGGTTTGTTATGTTGACCTCCGATGCCCCAGGGTCTCGGTTTTGGACAAGGACAGAGTCCTAAGTTATCAATGTACATTTTTATCACAGACAGCTAGAAATGAAAGACAAGAAAGGATGCAATGCTTGTTATATAATCATTTCTGCAGTGTTGGGGAGTACCTTAAGTACATTGTACCTAAAGTACTAGGTACTTCAAGTTTGTTTAGAAAGCTTGTTCTACCTTACTAGTATATTCTCCAAGTATGCATTTGTACTCTACTTAAAGTATTTTTTCTGGTACTTTCCGAGGAAAGTGCAACCCTTGACTTCTACGTACATTCCCCAAATTTGGTATTGTTAAATTTGTATCCCAAAATGCTGCTTAGTCAACTCTGAAGGAAAAAAAACTCGTAAGAATATCCTACTCTCACCTGAAATGCGAGCAGATGATGCATCGCTTCATTTGTGTGGGGGGCAGCCTTCTTGTAGCATTTAGAACTCTCAATAATTCTCCCTCGGTCAGCACAAGTGAGGAAGTTAGACATATATTAGGAGAGGATACCCCTCCATGTGAGGATTGCTTGCAGAAGCTATGTGGCTGACGTCATGCTTACAGCCGCCATTTTCGAAAACAATTGACGCACCCCCGATTACCCTGGGCAATGCGTACCAGTTGAAAAAACAAAAACAGGCGACACTATGGGGGAATGAAAGAGCATCATGAAAGATTGTTAAAAGTACTTTTACTTTACTTTGAAAGCACATTTTATTTATTTACTTGGAGTAAATTGTAGCTGGTGTACTCACGACTTTACTTGAGGAACATATAACATCTCGTTTACTTTGTACTTTACTTCAAGCACTTTTTAGATGTACTCTACCCAACACAGCATTGTCAAGAGGCAACTCATTTTTTTTAATTTTTTTATTGACTTGTTTTTAGGAGGCACTGCTTTTCATATTGCAGAATCGCTTGCCTCCACATTCCCCTTTCTTGTTCTCCGTCAGACTCTGGTTTAGATGTTTCAGGGCTGAGGTGCCTCTAAATTAAAAACTCACTAAATGTTATAGCAAATATTTTGTTCACCTCTCTACAACCTGCATTGTGGGATAGGTTAAAAGCATAAAGCTGTAAAAGCACCCCGATTCCTGACCGCCATCACAGCTAGTATGGTGATTTTGTCAATTTAAATTTGTGTTTTTGCTCGTCTCTGTATCCTTAGCCCGTTGCCTAAACTATAGTGGAAAATACTAAAGTAAGCTGAGCAGAGTGACAAATAAGGTGTCCACAATGGCTCCTGGTGCTGCAAAAACCAGCCGGAAAAATTGGTGCATGCACTTTGATAGCTCAGACTTTCACCAAATGTGCATTTCACCTAGTGAAATATCGAGACATTTAATTCCAATTTTGCGAACAGTGAGACCTACAAACTTGCAAGGCTCAACGGCAGACATGTTCGCAGACAGCCAAGTTGGCGACGGTTGTTAGTTGTGGTGCCCTCTCCTGATGGGCGTAGCAAGCAAATGACACGCTCTGTCGTCTGCTTGCTGCATCTATTTGGAGATGGTGCCACAAGTTGCAACCACCACTGACTCAGCCATCTGCAAAAACATGCCCATCGTTAACCCTAGCAAGTTTCTTAGTCCCATTTTACACAGAATGGGAGCTATGTCTTGAAAGTTCACCAGGTAAAATGCAATACCTAAGTGCACATTCAGTTTTGAGCCTCCTATGTGTATACTTCGATTTTTCTGGCTTGTTTTACTGTGCAAGAATCCACTGTGGACACTGCATATGTTCGGGACAGAAAAATCTGAAACCAATTAAGCAAAGAAAAGAAGGGATCGTCTTGTTTTTTCGTCCGTTTCTTTCTTTCCACGCGGTCTCGGCTGTTTTTCTGTCCTGCTGTGTCATGTAGAGACAGGCGTAAGGCAAGGTGGTGACCTCTGCCTCTGATCGTCAGGCAGCTGAGCCCCTTCTGGATGATGAAGGCCTTTGACGAGTGGTTCCGTGTGCCCGGCCTGCAGAACCTGATGTGCGACATGGCTGTGCACATAGTGCGCATGCTCGGAAAGCCCAACAACAACCAGATTCGGGGAACGATCCTCTCCATGATCACCATAATGCACGCCGGTTACGACCAGGTATGGCATGACTGTGAACAGCAGTCTGGAATGGTTTATTGGGGTTTAAACTATGCATAACCAACTCGCCCAATTTTTAAAGGGCAACTCCGCTCAATTCCGAAAAATTTAGGCTTCCATGTGATTCACATTCACAAAGCACCACTGAACAACTCTACGTCTTCGGATTCGCGAAATGTGGAATAATATTTGTGTAATCCTAATTTAAACATCAGCAGATACCGAAACCGAAACTTCGGTTGCGTCAGGCAACATCGGTCTCGGGTCGTCAAAGGCATGCACGTCACGTCGAACCACGTGGTCTTGTGACGCTCGGGAGGGAGCGAGAAACAGGACACGCGACGCGGGCAGGTTTTTTTTTTTTTTCTTTTTTTTTTTCTTTTTATTGGACGCGGGAAGGTCGCTTTGCGTGGCGTGGACGGTGATGGCCTGGGTGAGAGGGGGAAGGGAAAAGACGAAAGAAAAGGGGAGCGGAGAAACAGACCGATAAGCGCGCAGGGCAGCGCAAAGTAGCGCATCCGTGTTACGGTGATCACGTGAACGCCCGGTCAGCCAACACCGGGAGGAGAAACTCATGACGTCATCGTTGAATTTCGCTCTGAGAAATAAAAACAAGCAAAACGTGAGAATGACGTACATGCCTCTGACGTAGTGGCTCAACGTTGGCCGCTCCAACTCCGTGGCATTGACTGCGCTGATGATTGCGCCTCGCGCCGCACGCTAGAGTTGGCAGATTTCGGCGACTTGGCTCGCTTGAAGGTTTGCCGGCCAGTTTATTAAATAAATAAACGGAATTAGATCGTAATATTTGACGTGGGGTCTTCCTATATGATACTGAAGAGGTCTACATAGTTTTCTAAATATCAAAAATGAAGCGGAGTTGCCCTTTAACGGTTTAATGGGGCCATGCAACAATATTCGCTTAAAATGTTTTCCACTTTACACAAGCTTATTGGCACTAGTGGGACCCAAGTGTACTCCCACGCAACGCTACTGATCAAGAAACTTCTTTCTTGCAGTGTAATTTCAAGAACAAAAGCAAGCGTTTTCTTTCAATCTCTCCTTCGCAAAGCTTGATGACGTAGCTGGGGGGTCGCAGTACCCCTAGTGGTGATATGTGAATGCGGCTCATAGATTGAACCCGAGCATTGCCTGGGCACTAGATTAGGGCCCGTGATAATCAATAGCTCAACAAGCATTTGGGTAGTGGCTCGTGTCCAATCACCGCAGTGGCGGCAATAGTCGAACCATAACAATGTCTGTAACCCGGCGCATGTTCTGTGCTTTGCCAACCCCGGCGTGTGGCTATGATCAACATTGGCGGCATATAATCGACTCCGAATCACGTTGCTGCCTGTTCTGGCTTAGATTTGAGGGGGTGGACGCTGTTTGTTTGTTTTACAGTGGAGCCGTTTATGGCTAGGGTTCTGTGGAGTTTTCATATGCGTGGCCAAAAACTCTACGCTCGCACCACACCCATGCGCCGCACTGCACTCACACGTTGCATGTGCCATCGTCTACAGCAGTAACTGTTCTAAAGCAAAAGCCTATAAAACAAATGGCATCCTGCATGTGCGTTCGTCGAAGCCTTATTTTGGTTGTTTACTTCTAATCTTTTATACGGGGAAGGCATGCGCGTGCAATGCGTGGAACACCATTCCCTGCATTCTCCTTGAAGCTTGGGTAATTTAGCAATTTTCGTGTGCGCGACCATAAACTCTACGCTCGCACCACCCCCTCTTTGTCGTCGTTCCAAGCACTTGCGTGCCTAGCTTCCATTCCTCCCGCTCTCCCAAGGTGGCTGTCCCGTCGTGCGTGTCTAGTTTCCTCCAGTTCCTCAGGGCGGTGACAGTCGTCCACGCAAATGTATGTAAAAAAACCAGAAAGAAAAGTTGCTGTTCTTCATTTCAGTTTCATTTCTCTCTCGTCATAATGGGGAGGCTGCATATAGTTCAAACTCCTGAAGAGCAATGCACCTACAAAAAGCATTGGCGGGAATGGCAATGAGAATGTCAGCAGCGGCGGCGGGTGGCATGTGTGTGTGCATATCTTTCGTCACGATGACCACCGATCAAGACAATAAATGTGTTTGTACCTTTGTTCAAAATTCGGTGTCGCGTCTGTGTCGTCTGCTAAACAACTTCGCTGGTCTTCCACCTTCACAGAGTGGAATGGCTCCCAATTGTTTCCGCGACTTCTCTTGCAAGTTGAGAAAAACGAATGCGTGTTTCACAGGCCATTAACATGAGGGATATATTCTAAGCAGTATTTGCACAAAGTATGCGGAGGGCAAGTTCGTCTGCTTCTTGTGCAGGGGGTAGCGGTGACGTCAGAACGCCGAGCCCTGATTGGCTGATCACGACCCCCTATCTGAGCGTCGTCTGCTCCTTTGCGACGTCCTCTGCTCGCAACGTCGTCTGCGTCTGTCTTACCTTTCCTGCGACTTTCGAAAGTGCAGAGGCCAAACAAAACGATCTTACGCCAAAAATATGCGTAAGACAAAACTTGCAAACAAATTCGTATTCAGGAAACAAAATTTTCGTAAGTTTTGCGCAGGTTACGACGAAATCCTACGACAGCTCCGAAGCTGTCTTACGCACTTCTTACGATCAAATCAGCATGGCCAACAGCGTCGCAGTCGTGACGACCAACGGACGTTTATTTTTCTATGTGCGCTTCTCACGCGTGCCGACTTTAAGCAGCTAGAAAAAAGTAAAAAGTACTTGAAACACACCACGACGAACAAGAACGCTGGATCCACAAACACCCGGGAAAAGCTCCAACGGCCACGATTCCACCTACGACGACCAAGCGAGCACGGCAGATAGGCCTAGCAGGCACTCCAACTCGGCGACCGTCTGCCCATGACCGGCTGGCGTGCTGAATGGAATATGCCCACGCGACCCTTGTGAACACTTCCCGTTTTATACTTTGATCGCCGACTTCAATTTTAGATTAAGAGGTCAATCTCTTCCTCTTGTCATCTCGTTTTTTTCCGAGGTTATGATGACTCTCGCCGGTAAAAAAGCGGTGAATCTCCGACAAACGCAGGAAAGGTAAAGCAGCCATCGCTTTGACTAGCAGACGTAAAGCAGACGACGTTAACTGCGCCAACCCGCCGACGCCGTTAAAGAGTGAGGAGTCTCGCCGCGCACGAAAGGAGGGAAAAAGTATTTGGGAGGGAACTTGTGGACACTAACCACCCTCGCTCTCGGTTCTTAGCAAACAAACACCTCGCCAGTGAGTCCTTTGACTTCCCTCCTTGATGAGCGTCTGCTAGTTGTTAGACAAAAACAACGTACCGCTCGAGTTATTTCGTCTGTCCTCTCTGAAAGGCGAAGTCGAGCTCGCTCGACTTCCAAAAGTTGCAGGAAAGGTAAGACAGACGCAGACGACGTTGCGAGCAGAGGACGTTGCAAAGGAGCAGACGACGCTCAGATAGGGGGTCGTGATCAGCCGATCAGGGCTCGGCGTTCTGACGTCACCGCTACCCCCTGCGCAAGAAGCAGACGAACTTGCCCTCCGCATAAAAATTGTTGCATCGCCCCTTCAACATCTGTGGTGTGTGGGTTCCCAAAGCAGGTTTCTGCTTTGGGAACCCACACACCACAGAAGTACAGTTGCGGGGTCCCTGTCCGTCACTGTACTTTTAGCAGCAAACACTGTCTTTTGTAGCGTGTATTAATTAGCAGTGTGACAGCGGCTTTAGGTGTTCTATTGAGTACCTCTAGGGGAGAGGGCGCCTAATCACAGTAAGGGTGGTTGTGCAAGGAACGATTGCAAGGGGGAGAGCACCCTCTCCTTGTGATCACGTGGGTTTCTGCATTCAAACATTGCCGTTTTCTGCTGACAGCTAGCGACAGCTATTGCCATAAATTAAGGATTTGTTGAGACAGCACTGAGCACATACCCATTGCAGTCAGAGCCACTCCTGAGGGAACTTCAGCAGAGACAAGTGCCGATGCTGATGCTATACGGCGAGAAAGACCGACTCATTGACCGAGAGGTCAGCGCCGAGATGGCGGCAGTGTTGGGGGTTCAGCCATCGCAGATGCAGGTATACATGGGCAAGGACAATGCGCACGCCCGGCTAGAAAATCCAGGTGAGCATTTAACTCCCTCAGCCGTCAGTCAGACTGAGCAACTGTTTTGAAGTTGTGTAATTCATGGATGTGTGTAGTAACGAAAAAACTATCAATAAATTGATAGTTTACTATAAATTTACTATTAATAATTTCTCCAAAACTGTTAATTATAGTGCCAAAAAACCATTGACAGCAGTAATAAAAATAGTCTTCTGATGGTCAGCTATTGATAGTACCATCGATAGTCTTCATGTTGTCGGCTATTAATAGTACTATCAATAGTTTACCAATGGTCGGCTATCTAGCTACAGTGCTATTCTTTGGTAGTCAGCTATCAACAGTTCGATAAACATTATTTTCCAATAGATGACTATCGATAGTTTGTTCATTATCAATAGTTGGATTTGGTTTCCACTATCGATAGTATCAATAGTAAAATCGATGCTTTTGCACCACTAGTCCTTTTGTTTATTTGCACGCGTCACTCATATGCTGCATTTTTAAGTCGTGTACTATTGCGAACAATGTGAGCTGAAACAATGTCTTCATATGCTTCTTTGGCATACTTGCTGGTTTTTTAGAGATCTGTGATCCGAACTTGGAAAAGAGTGTGAAGTTTATGTGTCATACTTCATACTACCACGCTGACAAATTGAGAGATCATAGAGCTGGTGGGAACTGCAGGTGCACCAAAGGGTCTAATCAGGTGTTTCAGTGACGTCGTTCGCGGCGATACTTTACGTCTAACATCAGGTTAGATGCTGCCATGAGGTCACGCCGCCACTGCAATGCTTGAACTAAGGCCTAGTTTTGGCCTAGTTTCTTTTTTTTTTTTTTTTTTTTTTTGTAATTTATCGGTTTTACAGGCTTCTTAACAGCCATGAATGCTCGAGTGTTTCCCAAACCCGATGGCTCGGAGAAGAAGGTAGTACTCGTCCGTCCAAGGAAGCAAGTCGGTTGCTCTTCCCGTCTCGTCGCAGCTGGTTCTGTTACCCATTTCATTTGTAGGCCGAAGTTTGCCTTATTAAGCAACTATTTTGTAGTACTTCACCTCAATTCACTTTTCATTCTTAATATTACACAATATGACATTCTGACCGATCAATTTCTCAAGGTTTGTTATGAAAGCATGTTTTGGCTATAGTGCTTGTATACATTGTTTTACTTCTGTTGCAAAGGACACCAAACCGGTTGTGCTGACATACCCTGCAATAAGGTATGCTGATGGATTTATGCACCAACAGACAAAATTCTGGCAGTAAGGGTTTCTGTTGTAAGGCAATTCATGTTTTAAAAGAAACAATAGCAGTTATGATTCTGATACAAGCTTGCAGGTGTGGTTTGAATACAGATTGATGGACTCTGCAGGTTCAAGTTGGAAGCTGATATTGACATCACCATCTGTACAGGGCTGTATACCTAACATTGCCCGCGTAAGAGGGCCTTTTTAGTGCATCTGTTCTGAAATTTGTTGCTTGCTCTAGGCAGAAAATATGTTGCTACTAGCTCTGTACATACAATACTTGACTTATCTTACTTCAGTTTTTTTTGTAAAGTATCACATGTTAACTTTACAACAACAGACTCTCTGCTTTGCCTTTCAGGAGAACCAGTGGGCAACAATGAAGTCGTCTGCTTTAGAGAAGGAACTCACTTTGCATTCAAGAAGTACCCTGACATTTTCAATGATGTGATACTGAAATTCTGGAGGAAGCACGTCAAGGCTGGCATATGATCCACTGTGCTAAGTATGAAATGGTGCTTGGCATTAGCTATTGCTTCGAGCCTTCCCAAGATTCAACTTGAGGTCACCTCTAATCATCGAAAGCCAGGTGCCACGCTGGCTGCAAGGAAGCTGGACTACGGCTGGTTGTAATAGTGACTTAAATGAAATTATGTAATTTTGTATTTTCGGAAGTCTTCAATTGCAGGTCTTGCTCACTGCTGGCTAGGATGACTGCCAAGCCTTTCTAGTAATGGTTTTGTCGAATGCAATCTGATGGAAGAAGAGCTTTGTATGATGCGCCACAAATGGACTGATTAATCTGTGAGATGTGTTGTGTTAATAAGTCTTGTTGTACACAGTTTAGTTGCCTGAGGTTATGTAGTCTAGGGCTGAATTGGCATGGTGCATAGCCAAGAGAGGGTGCTAGTGTTACATGGCACCATAGTACTCTATCCAGTGTAGCCCTACGGTGGCAGTGAAGCGAGAACTAGGTGTTGCATGGATTAACCCACCCTCAGCTATCCATCGTGTGCTAATAATCTCTGCTCATCATCGCAGAGTGCAGTCATGGCATAATGCTGGCATAAACTATAGACAGTTACTTGCATGTTTGCAGTTGTTTCTCCAAATGATGCAACTTTTATTTTGTTCATTTCTTTTTGTACTCGTAGAAGGGTCAGGTAAGTTCCTAGAGATTTCCTGCGCTCTGCACTGCCTCTCTCCAACTTGGTAACTCTTCTGCAGACCGTAGTGCCCCAATAAGCAAGCATGCCTTAATAATTTATTAAGTTCTGCTTGTGATATCAGCATGCCTTTTGGTCAATTAAGCGTCGACACAACAGAATCTATCCAGAGATTCAGACAAATGTCAAATCGAGGATAAGAAAAAAGAAAGATTAAGGCCGAGTGTTTGGTTTCCAATTTTTGTGATGATTGGGTTTTAAAGCCCAAAGGTATGTAGCAATCTTTTTAGAGCTAACTTTTAATAAAAAAAAGAAGTGGTGCACAGTGGCAAATGCAAATGAAAGTTTCAGTAAACTGATGCTGACTGAAGATTGCACTGGCACACTTGCTTACCATTGCATATTTCTACTGGCCCTCAGAACCATTTGAAAATTGCTCTTGACACCTCTTAGAGGAATGTGATATATGTGAATGTCATGTCACAGCCAGATCTACAGTCTCGGATAATGTTAGTTGGTGTTGTCTAACACAGTGCTTCCCAAACACTGCTACCCTGCAACTTCTCTAAACAATAAAATGGTCACGACCCCCACCACCCCTCCCACGCCGGCAATGCATGGAGCGTTTTGATTTCAATGCATGATCAGTGATATACAAAACTGATGCTAAAATTTCATTTGGCACTTTATGTAGCCAGAGTAAATAGGGTAATTTACATAATTGCAAAAAGAAAAAAAAAAAAGACATTTATGTTGCAGGATGTATGGTTGTTCCTAAGAACTATAGTGAGCTTGTTAAAACAGTTTCTCGAAACCAAAGTGCAGTTTAGACGCTGCAACTCTCAGTTACGACTTGTTGAGCTGCGACCTGTACTTCGTTTTGATCGACGACACTGCAGGGAAGCCAAGTTTGCATTGTGTTTTTCAAGTTCCTAAGCCGTTTTGTGACATCCCTTGGGGTTGCGACTCAGTTCGAGAAACACTGGTCTAACATCAATTGAGTCTGCGATGGCAAATGTAATTTCAAGGAGCTAGGTAGCAATGCCAGATAAGCAATCGGCCCTCGGAATCTCGGATCAAGTTATTTGTGAAGGCCTGTTCGAAGTTTCTTCATAATATGATGCCCGAGGAAACGCCGAACTACCAGTTGTGGAGTTTGCTTTAATTACCTTGCTGTTGGTGATGCATCTTTATTAGCTACCAACTACCTCCCAGGACCATGAATATTGCTGAATTGGTGTAGAAGGTGCAAGATAAAATTTTTCAAACCTGAGCTTCGAGGCAAACTGTGGCTTAATTGCCAGTAATTTTTGCCATCGTCAAGCCTAGATAAGCATTCTATCGGGTCTCTTGGAAACACTGGGCCTTTTTCTGCATGTTTTTCTTTGCTTAGCTTTTCACCGTGATTCGAACTGGGCTGCCATCAGTGGGGAGAATCGCATACAATTAGATAGTTTTACCGGGGCAGACCTCGCATTGGGCGTACCATTACACACACATTTTATTGCGTACATTCTCTGTACTTGGCCGTCATTTCAGAATCTTAAAAACGTGACAGCTCTCGGGCGTGGCAACAGTAAAGGAAACTAGAGAGAAACATTAAGTCACAATATTCATATCCTCTTGTCAGTACAACGCCGCGCCGCTGATAGGGCACTACTGTCAGCGTGGCGCATGTGCAGAGTTTCGCTGCTTCCAAATGTGGCTTTTGTGCATGCGCAGCGCCTACACCTAGTCGGGCCAAAAGCAGATTTGTCCGTAAACAGCGTGTTGGTCTATTATACATGTACCGAAAGCAAAAGAGGCATTTGCTCAAAGGTTGCACACGACAAGTATTGTGGCGTAAGGAAGCTCCCCGATTCGCGTGTCTGCCCATGCGACGATAGTCAAGCCTGCAGGGACAAACCGTGTAATATTCAATGTGGCATTTGGAAAACTACCTAGGATTTTTGCACATGCCGATAACTTGTGCCCGCATTGTCGAGTGCTCCTAGCAAATGAAAAAGAGTTTGCAAGCACAAGAATGTTTGGTGCATATTTTCCCGGGGTCGGATGAACATGCCCGTAAACATTTATTTTAAATTCACTTAAACCTTTGACGAGCGTTGTGAATGTGTAAAAGAAATATTTCTCACTAGCAGATATACCGTAAAATACCGAGCGAGCACCCACTCAAAATATGGAGATATTCGTGAAAACTGTGCATATTTTTTCAGATGTTGCAAAATTTGGGGGAGGGCACTTTGTATGGAATGCGCGGATGCTAGGTACTTTACGGTATGTATTTTTTAAAGGTGGCATTGTACTACCTTATTTTATTCAGACTGTTACTATTGTTCTGATATTCGATTGGTTATTTCAGTTTTGAGAGCTCTTGAAGTCGGGTGACTGTCCATTCATTATTTGTTACATTTTCTGTCGCACTACAGCAACAGCAATCTTAGAAATTTTAATTAAGCATTCCAATAAATCTATTTTGTATTTAGATATTTCGCTCGTGTTTAGTCAGGGCTCCGGAACAATGAATGAACAATTATTCTTTCACTTGTAATTTATATTCCGAATTTCGACAGTTGTTGCTCAGTTAAACAGCGAAAGAAATTCTGCTCATGAAACCACAAAAACATATCTTGGAAACATGACTTGACATTGTAGAATATATTGTCTCTTCTCTGCTTGCATTTTTAAAAGTGAATTAAAAAAAGAAAGATATGCCTTACTGCGAGTCTGCATTCATTTTCCATCCAAGGAAACATCTAAGGAAAATGATAAACAGTCACAAAATATATGCAGGAATGCACAGCTTTTGCCTTTAGACGAGTTGCCAAGGTGAGCATATATATCTTCCATCATCTTCCCCTTGCTCTCACTACTTGGATCATAATATGATCCAGTGTATCACTAAAAGCTTTTTTTTTCTTTTTTAAAAATAGAGTTTCTGCATTTGATTATGATTACAGCTACTGGACACCAGTGGTCTAAAGATACTACTGAATCCTGGTAGCCTTTCTCCGTAAACCCGCTGTCGCCGATCTAGGATAGACAAAGTTAAGCTTTCACTTTGTTAGTGGACCCTGACCACTGCATCTCGTGAATATGGCTATGCAGAAATAGTGCAGAAACAGTGATTGCAGACATGAAAAAAAAAAGCATGGTGTGCTGCTGACAGGCAGTGCCCAACAGCCAACGCACATGAAAACCATAAAGTATATATAGTGGTTTCGAGCAACCATTGAAAGCATGAATACTCCAAATTCAATGGAAGTGTGCAATCGTGTCATTTTTTTATCGCAGCTCAAACATTAATATTAAATATGGACTGCAAATGTATTTTTCGTACAAATATTGTAATTTATTGTGAATGGAGCATTGATACCTTGGTAAATCATTCATTCCACGAGAAACATTTTCCATACTTTCATTAGGCGAAAAAAGGCCCTGGAAAGGAAGTTGGGTAATGCATAACTATGAGGCGGGCAGGTATTTGAAATTTCATATACCTGCCCATCTCTAATAAGTGCTTTCTCTAGGTTCAGTAGTGTTGGCACATAATAATTTCCATCAATATTTTCATGAATATGATCCGACCATTGTGACAAAGCCCATACTCGGAACGATGCAGCAGAGAATGCCTCTCGCATAATGACACCACCGACCTGAAGACAAACTCTCCACGATTGAAAACCTCTCAGACAGAATAGAAATGGGCCTGTAGCCTAACGCCTTTTACATCCTTCCTAAGATTGGCCTCACAACACCAATCTTTTGGTCACTGAGAATCAAAACTATGAACACATCATCCCGTCACTTTTTTCTTAAGCCCCATTTATGCAAATGGTATTTATTACATGCACCAACCGTAATTGTCATGCAGTCTCACAAGAGTTCTTAAAGGCCCAACATACTCATCACAGTTTCTACTTTTGCTTTTTCGTTTGCCATATCCTCTACCCTTCCAACTTCCCCAACAGCTCTCCTCGGTTTAGGAGAGAGCCCTTTGAAGTATTTTGCGATATTTGAGCAACAATTTTATTGAGGTGTCCGCATCACGGGACTAGAAGAAATTTTAAGTTAAAACATCACCACACACAAATTCCCAATAGTGTCATCGTCTTTGCCTGTATCAGCACCAGTCAAGCAGTACCTACATCACAACCTCAATCTACTTCAACAGGCATGCATGAAAAAATAAAAACGGCACACTCTAAACGTTATTATACCACAGCAACGTTTTTACAGCTAGAAACTTGCAGGGACAGAGCTCTTGCACCACATTTACGCAGACTGCGATATTCACATCTGCACCTTTGGAAGTGTTCATGCCAGACCATGACACGCGCCGTGCACCCCTCCCCCCCTCAAAGAGTGTCAGGAAAGACGGGCTGAATAGACATTTCTTTATTTTGTAACAACTAGTACAGAACCTGCTGCATCCACGAAGAAAAAAAAAAATAAAACAGGTGAGCAAAAAGTATTGTCGTGCCACGAGTTAAAGACCAGGCCCCCCCAAAAAAGTAGTTTACAATTCTGGCAGTGAAAAACCTTCGAGGTGAAAAATCTCCTCACGGACGTGCCGTCTGGTTCAAGGGTAACAGATCGACAGGGTACAACGCTTGGGCACCGTGCTTGCATGCAATGCACAACGAGCGGCATGGGACGTGTCACCGTGGCACGGGACCTAACGTACTACTGCAGCCGCTGGAGTGGTCCGCCTGTGCCTTGGGAATGAGAGTATGGGAAGTTGTCACAAACAGTGTAGGATAAGTCTCGGCCCGTCACAGCATCTGGGCCCGAGTAGGAGGTTGGCATCTCTCCTCTACCACGGTTGTTTGGCATTTATGCCAAACAACGGCAACGCGGAGGCAATCATTTCGTGGCATAAAAACAAAATGACAAAAAACGTGTCCACAAATTTCTGACAATGTGTTTACACTGTTAGCTAGACAGCAATGCTGTGAAAATATTGGCATTTCACGTCTGAATATGCCAAAGTATTTCAAAGTAACGTACGTAAGCATCTAGACTCTGCAACCATCCACAGTCGTTAGTTAGATTACATGTTAAATTTCTGCCTTATAAGACTGGTCCCATATCTCTAGATTTAGGCATCAACCTCGAAAGCCTTGTGCGCAAGTTGGAAAAATGTGCCAGAGTTGTCTACTGTATAAAGCGGTGCAAAATTTTATTATTCTTGCAACATTATTTTCTAAGTTACAGAAGTTTGCTGGTGGTGCAGGCCCTCAAAATTAATATGCCACAATATGAATAAGCTTAGTGCGCATTACCGGAGAACCTACTCCAAAATACTTTGTACCTGCACTACAAATGTTTGACACACTTAGTTTGTTAAAAGCTGGAGCATAAGAAGAATTTACTGCAAAACTAAAATTGAGTAAGCAGCCCATAACGCAAAATCAGGTCTCAAATTCTTAGCGTCGATTATCTAGCATTCCTTAGAAACTTTGCAGAGTGACGAAAACCGAGTTGTGGCTTCATAACGTCATCAAAGATGGGCACATCTTTGATGTGTCCATGTGCCCAATTTTGGAAATTTTTTAAAATTTTCCAACACAGCTCTGCCCTTAAATGCCAATGTTGAACCGAGAAACTATGCCCTCAAACCACACAAAACATCACTTTCCGTTAACAAATTCGTTAAAACAATACCCCCACAAAATGACTGCCAGCCGTTGCACCACCGACAAAATGTCTCGCCAACAAAGTCCCACAAAACAACCGCCATTTTGCGGGACGCCTTCGAGAAACCGGAAATCAAACCTACGTCCCAGCAGTGCCCACACTCCCAACTCGAGAATGGCGCCTTTGTACTGTCTGAAAGCAACACCAACCCCACACAAAAGGCTGCTCTCTTAACTGCCTCCGACTGGCTACGCCACACAACCGGTTTTCCTGCTCAGAGTGCGAAAGATTCCCTGTCAGCCGATTGCCAACAACTCTCAGCTAGGGCCCCTGGCTCACTGTCGTTCTTGCTTTGAAGGCCACATTTCCCGTACGCCGGATGCATCGGCGATGTACAAGCAAATTCAAGCAGTGCGACGTCGGGCTGCGCCTTAACTTCACACGAGATTTTAGGATGCAATAGTTGCAAGACACCGCAATATCGCACAACCTGCAGCAGCGTCCTAATAAATTTAGCCGACGAAACCACGGTACGGTTACTGCACAGGCCACAATTCCCAACTTTGCATTCATTAAAATGCATTCTGCATTTAAACTTCAGGATCATGCAGCAGTAAAGGCCCCAAGTCATGCCTTGCCACTCCCCGTCCCTGCACTTAAAAGTTTCGATAGACACCTGCGTCTCACCGAGAAGATACCACGAAAAAGTTATAGTGGAATAAAGAGCAGTCAAATTGCTTCTGAGCATCTGCCTTTTGTTCCTTTTTGCGTCGCTTTGCCGGATTCACTGACCAATACGATTTCCTTATGTTTCTGCTCAATATAGACAGCCAGGAACCCTGCTGGAAACAAGTCGTTGACAGGGAAAGAGACTAGAGAGGGAGAGGGGAGGGACTGCCATAGGTGGACACACTCATGCAAAACCTGACTTTACTACGCTCCCCAGTCGATAACTTGCCGCGAGGGGAAGCTGGAAAACCAACTGTCGCAGCCTCGAAAATAAAGGAAGCTACATTTTGATGAGGACGATAATGAAGGTAGCCACAAAAGAAAGTGCAAGTTTACGACGACGAAAGAGTCGTCCCCAAATTCACAAGAAAAGCTGCAATTATTTGCAAATAATTGGGATTGCTGTGGCAGTTTTCAGGGCCTACAAACGACTTGGGACTGTTTCGTACGCAATTAAAAGTGAATTTCACATTCCCTTTCATGGTCACGAAGACACCCACTTCTCTGTCAACAGAGTAAGAAAAAGTTGCATCCCTTTTTAAAAATGATAGACGTCTGTTGCCAGGGTTTGCTTGAGCGGCCCTACGAAATAGATGCTAGTCGAGGAAACGTTTGCAGCATGTTCTATACAGCTGACTGGTAAATCACAAAAGGGGTTAAAAACTCTTAGAGGCCTCACACAGTGGGAGAAAACAGGAACTCGCAATTTTGATCGTGAAGATTGCGGCTTTTGCAGCGGTATAAATTGCAAAAGAAGTATGGTCTACGTTAAAATGTGCACTTGCCCCAGAAACCTTCCCCGAGACAACCGGACAATGAGAAAATCGCTGGCAGTGTCGACCGAGAAAAAAAAAAATTGCCGCGGCGACGCCGAAAAAAGGGGCAATCGCCGTGGGCCTCTCGCAAAGGCAATAGTTTCGTAAAAGAAAAGACGCTCGTAAAAATTGTGATAATACACCCGTGCCTGTTCGTCTCGTGTCGTAAAGGAAGGTCACTAGCAATGCGTAATGTGAGATGCAAGTAAAAAAAAATGGAAGTGTAAACAACTATTCTAAATGTGTCCGTAAAAAGGTACGAAAAGCATGCTTGCACGCACACAAAGCCTTCACATACACACTCACACACACGCAGATAAGATCAGACTCGAAAAAATAAAACAAAACACTGCACTTTTTCTTAAACGGCAAGAGTCGTCGGCACAAAAAAGAAAATGCGGCACAGCTCGCATTGTTGTTTGAACATCACTGGGCCAACGAACGCGTTGCCCCGTCGTGAAAGAACGGACCGTCCGAGAGCTCGCTGGAATGTCGCAAAAAACCGGCGATCCGTCGACGGAAAACAAGTCGTCCTTCACCCCCGACAAACACCGGCATAGTAACCACGTTCCCCGAAACCTGCCACCGGCGACAACAATGAGAATGACGACGACGACAACAAGATCGTAAGTAACGCTTTCCCTCCCCCCCGGGGACACAACCATTACCAGAGAGGGGGGAGGGGGGAGAACGGACGCACACGCTGTACACGCTAACGGGCAGGGACCAGTGGCAAAATCGTACAGAAACCCGGGGTCGCCGTGAGCAAAAGGGGTTTTTCCGCCAGACGCCTGCAACGGCATCATTCCCACGGCGCACACGCCTCGAAGCAACCCAGCATCCACTAGCGCCACTCCGGCTGTCAAACGCCGTCGGCGCGCGCCCGTAGACGTCCTTCCGAACTGGTAACGAAAATCCTGCCCACCACACTTTCAACGTTGCCTATACAATGCTTTGTTTGTTTCCACGGTTAATCTTGTTTTCGTGCCTCTGTGCGTTCCTTCTGCTCCAGCTGCGGATGTCGGGTCTGGCTTGCTCTAAGCACATTCTCAGCTGGAAAGGCCAACGCTCAAGCGAGAAATGAGCCATTGTGCACCTCAAACCGTAATTCGAGGGATTAGAAGTTTACGCTCCAAATCGACAAAAGCATCAGTAAAGCAACATAGGCGGTGAGAGTCCGGCCTTGCCAACCCTTCCGACAGTACTCGCTCAAGCGAGATGGCACCTCGCTTCGAATAGAGCATGTAGGACCAGAAGCACCGAGAAGAAAAAGAAAAGACAAACGACAACTCTACTCCGATGCGCAAAGGATGAGGTCGTAAGGCATTCGTAAAGACCGAGCGTGAGGGAAAAAAAAAAAGGGGTAGCTGCCGCTTTAAAACCGTGTCCCGCGTCTGGTCCGCAGCTTGCGCAGCATACTTTGAGGCCCAACGACGAAACAGTCTGGCAGTGATCTGGTTAGACGGTGCACGCCGGAAGAGTAAGTTTGCCGACGCCCCCCACCTTTTTGTGAAAGTCCTCCCACGTTTGCCACGCACTAATCGCACAAAAAACAGCTGTAAAGGGGCTTGCTCGCGTCGGGCCGGAGAGGCTTTCGACCGCGAGGCTTTGGGACGGGCACTTATGGGAGCACGCAAGGGGAAGGCGCTTGCCATTGCTCGCCGCGCTGGACGAAAAGCGAGCTGCATTTCGCCGAGAAGGATCTACTACACGGGTCTGTACCGATGCCAAAAGATTAAATCAACACTGGATTCTAATCGATCAAATCGTCAGTATCGGAGAACCCAGATGGTCTCTGCTAGAGTCGCCGGATAGGTTTCCAGAGTACAGCATCCCTTTTTTGCTTTACGTTCTGTCGCAGTTGATAGGGAGAGGAAGTATTGTTAAAATTCCATTTCGCGAGCGGAGCCATCTACCGGACACACCGCAGACCTGTGCGCCGACTTGCCTGGCTTTTCTTTTTACAGAAAGCACAGTTTTGTTTGATAGCTAACGAAAGAAGCTTGTTCCTAAGTTCCGTTGTTAGGGATCCATAAAGAATGGTTGGTGCTTGGACACAGTGATCAATTGCAGGCGCGAGAAAACATCAAGCATATGAGAAATTGTTTTTCGTAAAACAACCCCCCACTTCGAATTTGGACTGGCTCACTCGGAGTGGATGGCCCAAAAACAAACTCCACTAGCAAATAGACCCAAGTTGACAGTGCCTTTGTCCACAGGAGTTTCAGTACCCTGCAACCAATCTGGCGACTCCAGTCACCACAGCGAAGACGGCAGATCAATTCTAATTACCGAGGTTTACGCTGTTTGCCTCTGAGCCTGTTGCGCCAATAGATGAGCACTCCCACAATGTCCCAGCGTTTGAATCGCTGCAGATCTAGCCAAGGAAAAGAAAAGTCGAGTTCAGCTCTAGTGAAGAACAGACACGACGGCGTTGTTCGAACCGCACCCCCACAATTGCTCAATTCTAGGTTTGAGGCAGACGACAGGGAATGACAAGGTACGCAGGACAAACAAAAACCTCTGTTCTTTTGGTGTGGCGTTGTTACCATGCTGCTTCCATCCCTTTTGAAGAATTTGCGGTTCGACCGCCCCAGATCTCGGAACCGGCATAATCGACCCATATGTGGCAACCGTCACCACCGCGGCCATCGTCTGCCGAAGCGCAAAAACTGTGCGGCACACTGGTTTGCAGCAGTTAGGATGAGCCAAAAGCAACCACTTGTGAAACTGTAAAAGGGTATGCGCTTGGGCTAGTTGGTGATCCATGTTTGTAAGGGTAAAAGCGCTAAAAACAACGGACGAGTAAAAGAAACGAACAACACAAAGCGCTCTGTGTTGTTCGCTTCTTTTACTTGTCCGTTGTTTTTAGCGCTTTTACCCTCACAAACACTTGTGAAAACCATCAGCCATTGATGCCACAGCAGGATTTTGCAAATGCCTACGCAAAGCAATTTTTTTTTTTTTTTGACACAGATCATTCTTTGCTCTGCGTAATTTACTTTTGGGGATCTCTGTCATTTCAGAATTATGTTACCCTCTTACGCACAAACGAATTGCAAATACAATCAGTGGAAATCGTATTTTCCGGTTGCGTCCAACAGACACGGCCGGCACCAATGTGAGTTAAAACGTGTCGTCCGAGTTTGCCTTGTCATTCCCGTCCCCGCTCGGATTGCCTGAAATTTTCACGCAACTCTGACCCTCCTCTTCAGAGCGAGGGCAATCAACGTCGAGCATTGTCACATTCCTCGAGAGCACCGGGCAACGCACCCCAACAAAGCGCTCGAATCGCGACGACAAAATCTCTTCAAGCGTCGTCACAACCTTGGCTCGCTGCGGGGCACCACGTCGGTGTGGCGAGCGAAAGTGTGCCACACCCGTTCGTCTGCCACCACCAACGACGACGACGACGAAGTTGCGTCCGTGCCGAAAACTGGAGTAGAGCACCCACACCGTAAACCGAGACACGGCACTCGCCGTGCCGCATGGAGGAACGGGAGGGCCGGTGCGAACATGGGATGCCTTTGGGTGCTCTTCTCTTCTCTCTCTCAAGCCGCACGTGGTTGCGGGGGTAGTCCGACGTCAGAGTCCGCGAGAGTATGCGGGAGTCCGTGCTGCACCGGGGAAATAAATAAGCTGCCGGGAGTACACCGAGATTCTCACTGGTCTTGCTTGCAGACGCCTTCCGGAGTCAGCACCTGCGAACGGGGACGGGGAAAGGGCGTTTGCGAAGGGCGTTCGCATCGACGCCGACCGCCACCATCGACGCCGACCGCCACGCTCACGGTCGTGGGGTCGTCGGACAAACGATTGATGGCACCGCAAAACATTATTGACTGTTACGAGATCTTGTTGCCAGAAAATGCTTTTGGTGCTACGACATTACAATGATACATACGGCTACAAAAGGGTTGGGGAATGCGAACAAGGATCTCTAGAGTGAAATGTATTGGAACGTGCCAGCTGAATCCTCAACAACACTCCCGTCGTCGCAAAAAGAAAATAATAATAATAATGGAAAGTTTTTTCTTTTTTTCTTCTTTTTTTGGGTGATTGATTGCAAGGAGTTGTGGCGCAAGGATTTCTTGAGTTGGGTGATCGCCCTCTTTGCTTTACAAACCTGTTTCCAAAATTTGTAATTATAAACTGGCAAACTGAAGAGTCCCGCACCAGCGATTGCGGCGGTTATTATCCCCCAAATAGGCAAAACTGGCAATAAATGTGGCAGCAAAATTATTGAGTTAGATGAACCTAGATACGTCAAACTTCAAGGGTACCAAAAAACAGTATGATATATAGATATTACTATATGCCAACTTAAGCTCGAGCTGAAGATCCGAAGCAAATGGGAGTTTACTAAAATAGAGCACCAGAGAAAGTAGAACCTCGTAAAATGCAGCCAGCAAACACCGCGTGCACAGCTGCTCGCTGGCGCGCGCACCTCACCGCGCTGACACGCGCACCTCGCCTGGCTTTAGCAGCAGAGACGACAAACCACAAAAAATTTTTTAAAAATGTAACAGAAAATTGAAGGAGTCCAAGGCATAAAAAAGACAACTATGCATCCAGGAAAAAAACGAGCAAGCAACGAAAGAAGATCTGGCGTAAAATCAGACGGCCAAAGATAGAACTGCAAAAGAACCACGGGGAAGCAAAAAAAAAAAACACGCCCAAGACACTTACGACTGCGTATGTGTAGAATCCAAAAGCATCCCTACAAGCAGCATGCCACGTCTTTCACAGGGCACTCCCCCACTGCGCAGGCACGGCACCCCCGCCGGCTCCATGGCTTTCATGACAAAGCATCTGCGTTGCTGCGCTTTCCTTTGCGTTTTATTTCTGAGGAGTGTCCGCTTTGACTTGTGCTTGATGACGTATTTTTATGGCCATCTTTTGGGCACAACACCGGCGCTGCCTTTTCGCACAATGGGACATCTAAGGCTTTTGCCTTAAAACAACAAAAGGAAAAGGCAAGCAAAGATAAACAAGGCGTTCAAAGCGCCGTTGCTCGACCATCGTGGCACGCTCGACTGGCCAAATACTCTTCCTGTGCCTCTTTATGCCTTTCGTTGCTCGTGGCCAGAGTCGTTTGGCCTTGGCACGTGCAAATTGCGCAGCGATGGCACTGTCCGGGGAGACACCTACCCCCTACCAGGGGCAAGGCGCGCGGTTTGAAGTTTGAGAGAGACGCACAGGGCACTCATACTTTCGCATTAAATTTTGAATGAGATGTTTTGACTGCCAAAAATAGACAATATTTCCAAATAACTGGGTTCTATACAATCAGGTTCGGCTGTGTTGCCGAAGCAAAGCAAATCACACGTTCATGTTTAGGGAGCGTAAGGTCAGTCTGCTTTTACGGTGGAATGACACCAGTACAGGGAGTAGATGAAAAATTTAGCCGATGAAAAACGACCACTAGCCTGGGGGTCTTTCCCACAGTGACCATGGCAAGCTGCGAACACGGCACGCTGAGCGACGTTTTACGCCATAGTTTATGATAACGGAAATAACTCTTGTGTGGCAGAAAATTTGTCTGTTCTAAAATCGTACCATTCGTTACGACTAAAACAAATATTGGCTCGCACAAAAATAAAAACAACATCTTCTCCGCACGGATCCCAGACTTCTGCAATGCGAGCGGGGTTTTATTCAACCACCCATTATTTGGCCGATTACCCGAAAAGGGCCAAATGTTTTCTTTAGCCAGCCAAACTAAGCACATTTTTGCAATACCGAGGCTTTACTCTTCCCAGTCTGCTATTCATTACCTCTACATTTGACACAATTTTCGAGAAAAACTTAAAACAAAGGTCATGACGAAAACCAAAATTCAAATTTTTCCTCTCCAGCTAGGCGATGTCGCTCCTTGCACAACTGGCAAGTTGAGCGTCAGTCTGAAAAACACGGCATTTCGCGCATTTCTTTTTTTCTTGTTTCGTTGGTATGAGCCGACCAGCATTCATTTCGCGCCGTCAAGTTTGTTGGATCCCATCAGTAACAAGTTGCACTGCCTCCACGTTACGACGTCCGACGCCGAAACCGCGACTTCCGACGTTGCGGTTTTGGCGTTGCCGGTAGAGCTTCCTAGCCTCTCGTAACTTCAATCACCTTGCAACGAAAAAATATTGTGGCGTGTAGTTCGGGTGTTTCTATTAATGTGTCGAACAGAGTTTGAGGCCGAACAGGAGACCATCAAAGTGTTGCCGGAGCTCCCCTCGAGACGAGATCGCAACACGTGCTCTCACCGTTGGCGGGGCTTCAGGAGGGCGCTGCCGTACTGCTTGCAGGAGCCTCCGGGACTTCTGCCACCTGCTACGGACAGAGTCGTCATATCGTAAGTAAGCTACCAATTGCTCAGCGGCAACGAGCTAACAATTCAGCGTCAAAAGCCCCCAAAGGGAATTCGTCCCACGAGGGCTTTTAGTATCCCCGGAAAGTTTAGCTTATTCACACTGCAGTTACTTTTTCATTAATTATTTCCGGTTCACTGATGCTAAAGAAGAGGTAAAAGGTTTGAACCCTTTGAACGAGTTTTTCTCCGTTACACTTTTTCGGATAAATTTCCCTTTAGGAAAACGACTGCTTGGTAATGGGACAAAAAGAAAGACTCACCCACTGTTTCCCTAACAGGAATTCAACGAGAAATGCACCTGTGGCATTGTATCTTTTGACTTTGTGGATGTCTTTCATTAAAGGTGTTGAGATTTCGTTGACGACGTAAAAGGCACAAACCTTTTTTAATTTTTCAGCGCAACGTTAGCATAAAATAAATTAATTTTGGGAAATTTCGTTCTCCCAGCTGCACCCTCCAGGCATTCTGCTGCCTGTTTGGTCGAGAAAAATGTTGGGCATTACATTAGTTTTTTAATGAAAGGTTTCCTGAACGATGTCAGTGTGTTCCTGATTAAAACGACTACTATTGTAGAATGAGCTACATTGGCTGAGGTTGAGCAGTTTCGTGTGGCTCCCAAAGAGCCGTGCTGCGCATGCGCGAGGAGCAGCGACGTCACACGGAACACAGCTGGCGCGCCGGAGCCGCCGCCGCTGCGTGCCGCCTCACTGGTCTGCGCATTCCAGAGGAGTGACGTCATAGCCGCGGCAGACGCACTGGCGCCACCGCGTGCCCAGCAGTGCGCCTCCGTTGCGCAGTAGCCAAGTCTGACGGTGCACCGGAGCCGCTTGATAGCGCCTCTCATTTTGTGCGCATAAGCTCGTGCTACGTATATTCTGGCATAGCCGAGCTAAGCCACCACAATTTTTTTCTTTCACAAATCATGTACACAGATGAAACTTTGCATTGCATACTTCCTCACAACTGCCAGCGTATACTGTAAATTTCATTCGTATTGAGAAAAAGGTTCAAAAGTGGACCCTCTTATACAGTGTCCTTCCTTAAGGAACAGACTGAGTCCCTTGGGCAGGGGAGGAACAATGGTCTTGGAGTTTTTTTTTCTTATTTTATGACCAAACCCAAGGAAACTGCACAAGCTTGTTTAGCGAACTGTCCTCAAGATAATTAAAACTTCCCTGCCTTTTTTTGGAGGAATAGGGAAAACACTGCTCAACAAAATATCCCTTTTAACACATGGCTAGAGAGTATGAAGTGTAGGGAATACAATGTTGGAAGTACTCTTAAGATAAACCCATTATTGGTGATTTTACTACACACTGAAGTGCAGTGCTCAATGCATGACTAACAAGTAATAAAACAAAAGATCAAACAGAAAATTTTCTAGACTTGTATTAAAAAATCTGCTCTCAACATTGCATGCTTCACACCATTTAGCTACACATTTCAGAAAAGGTTATACTTCTATCTGCTCTAGATGCTGAGATATCCCTCTTGGCAAATTTTCAACAAGTCCAAAAACTGTGTTTTGTGAAAACGATGTTTCAGAGTCAACTTCAATGCACATTCAACCCACATAGACATTATAAATTGATTCATAGCTCAAATATTCATCCACAAAATGAGAAGCCTGGTAGATTCAGTAGAACAACAGCTGTAGAGGCCAACATCGCCATTTTCATAAGAATGCAGTTCGACTTTCTTCAATGCGGCAGTGTGCGCCACTTGCCACACCAATGTTCTAGTCACGTAAGAATGACAAACAAAAACGATCGACGAGCCTCAAGAACAAGTAGCTTGCGTGCAAAGGTGTCTTGTCGGGCTCACGATTGCTCGTGTGCAATCCATGAGTGCCGAGAGACCGACAAGAGTACCTTTGTGCTCGAGGGCACGTGCCCCAGGTCGATCGACGTTGATCGTCTCGTATTACGGGACCCGTAGCAATGATGTTCCTGCTCTTTGTCTACCCTGGTTGTGTCGCATGGTTGTGCCTGATATAGTATCCACTTTTGTTCACTGTATTTGTTCGTGAGGATCGAGTGGCAAATAAAAATTGAGACGATTTAGATCACAATTTAAATTGGTAGTTTCACAGCAATGATTCAGATTGAACCTTTCCCACAGAAATAACCCGGAAATATAATTTTATTCACAGCTTTTTTTTTTTTATTATATAATTTGACACTTCTTTTTATGTGCTCTTGTCTACATTTAAATCACAAAATCATGGAGGAAGAAATATTTATATTTTGGACTGAACACGAGCAAAAATAAGCACTTTTTCTTCGTGTTCTTTCAACCTTCCACTTCGTTCGTCTTTTTTCTAACTTCAACTTTGTTCGCCGGTTACACAAAGCAAATCAGCTTGTCAAAGAGAAAGCAAATAGAACTTTTTAATCAACTAAAAAGAATCAAGCTGCCTCTGTTCTAATCCGGCAGGTTTATATCTAAGAAATAGTCAATTTAACCACTTTGAATTGACTGCAATTCTTTCTTCCGCAATATTATCAGCAATCGTGCGCATTAGTCAATTAATCTGCAACATTTAAAGAAATACATCTCGTAATACAGAATTATTACTTTGAGCTGCAGCAATTTATATCAAAGAAATCTGACTCAAATCAAAGGAATCAAATTTTTTTTTTTACTTTTTTTTTAAATTGGCACCGACGATATAAAAATTGAGTGACGACATTAGGACCAGGCTGTTTACTGCATGCTCTCGCTCCAGCAAGTAGGCTTAGCTGCCGACGACGTGCTTTGCCAGGTGTTGTCCGTCCGATTTTTTACTGCGCCCAGAATGCAACGTCGACCGGCTTTCCTCTGGCAAGCTTACAAGGGTCTCGAAGCCCAATTTTAGGACATTGCAGTCAATGGATGACGAGGGGAATGTTGGAGGCTTTTTTCCGTATCAAAGCACAAAGACAGATGCGTCTGTTCAGCATCAATCGCATTGTCTAACAAAAAGTTGGCATTCCTTGAGCGGGTTTGACGTGTGTCCGGGACAGACGAGTTGACGCACTTTGTGGTTCGCATTTCACGTCGATTTGAGTTTCTTCGAAATGAGTCGGTTCAGAGTCGACGCTTGGCGCGTGTACTTTGCGTTCTTGTCCTCCGTTTTTTGGGGCCATTTATTTCATCATTCACCCCGCCTTGCGTCTGCTTTGGCTTCCGTCGACCATCGGGCCTCGGAGCGAGCTTCGGGAGAACGGGTATCCGCCACGCCCACCTTTGCCAATGTGGTCACCATTTTGGTTCGTGGAACGAGCAGTTGCTCCTCGACTTCTCCATTCTCGACGGGCCGATCCAAATTCCCGGTGACGGATTGCGAGTCTTCAGCGTCGGTGCTTGGCGGCATTGAAAAAAACATTTTCCCGTTTTCAAATATGCGAGAACAGCAATATTGTTGCAAGAGATCTCCGGAGATAAATGCGACAGATAAGTCGACTGCACACACAGTACCAAAGATGCTTACACTGAAGAGGAACGCTTTAGGTACGGCGGTGCTCCGTAGCGATCCTGGCGCAACCAGTTTGAAAACGACCCTTTCGAGGCTTCGGATGGACCGAAACGGCACTTGCCGTGGCAACCGAGACCGATTGGCCAATTGCTTCGCGAGATTTGGTCGTCCTTACGTCGGTATCCGTTTGTGTCCAGCTAGCGGGCGGAGAAGGAAATGGCGCTACTTTCCCAGGATCCAGTGACTTTAGCGGTGCCAGGATAGCAACGATCAACGGCATCACACTTCTATGACAACGTCGGGCGGAAACCGAGGGACCACGTATTACCTCCACAATTCAGTTTAACTGCAGTCCCAACACCCCTGCTTTGAAAGTAATTAATTACAATTAGAATTACTCTAACACAAAAAAAAAAGCAAATCATTATCTTCATAACTTACCTTCTTAAAGGGGCTGTGCAACAATTCTCTGACTTCAGGTCCATAGGCGTGGGAGTTAATCCCTACCACCCGTGGAATATGGAACAGAAAACCGTTTTTTGATACGTGCCCTAGTTTTATTTCTTCAGTCTTTCCGGTAATGTGGTTGTCACGTGGTTGCGACGTTTAATGGGGAGGTAGGTTTCCGGATTCGCAGGCGGCTTTGGCTCGGCCTGGCAGGGACGCTGAAAGCTCGCAGCTCGCTCTTGCAGCCTCAGTTACGCTGGCATTTAGAACAAAACGGAGTATAAAAAACTGTAGTTGGGAAGCGTAATGACGCACGTTCGAAACGGGAGCCGAATATTCTATTTTGCTCGCCTGGAGCGCTGCTCAAAACTTGAGAGCTACGGGACTATTGGCAAGTGAGCACCGCCATAGAGCAGAAAAGGTTTTGTTGACCTCTGATAGATGGCGCCACTAAAACTATGAATAATAATATTTCGTAATGGTAGGATACTTTCGATACATTTGTTTATGTCAATACGACCAGATTTCTAAAAATAGGCCTTATGTTTAGCAGATAATTGCACAACTTGGCCAATGTTTTACACGTTCCCCACTTGACGTCACGCTCACGTCACGTCCACGTCACGCCGGCTGCGCCCTGTGGTTCCGACGACCACCGCTGTGAGGCTGCAGGCCGGTAAAAAAACAGTTTTAAAATGTCCAATTACTTAATGAAATCGCAACATTTCCAAGGAAGGTTGGGTGTTTTCTGTCACTTAGGGCAAGGCACATAGGATAAAAATTACAGGCTGCGATTTCTTTCAACGTTAATATTGTTGCACGCCCCCTTTAAAGGACACATGCAAAAGAAAAAAACTTTTTTTTTTAAACAGGCTAGATGGAAAAAGAATATTATAAAACAAATTTTCAACGAAGAAAAAAAAATTTAGAGCTATATTTACGGCACAGAACATATTTGTAGTTGGCGTCCGCGGAGCCGCCGCTGGTCACGTGGTAGGCCCGCGCGCCGCTGGCATCATACAACGCTGGGCGTTGTACAACCGCTTCAACGCGTTTCTCCACGCTGCCGTCGCCGCACAAGTTCGTCTGCTTCGGGGCGCTGTGGCCGTCATCTGACCGGCGCACAGGTGTATCATGTCTACTTGCACTTTTTCAGAAGTTTCCTTTGGGCTCTAAAAGTTACTGATTAATCTTAGTTTCTTGTTATCCTTCAAACAAAGGTTACTTTTAGACACCATAGGAAGCTTTCGAAAGAGCGCAAGCACCACGTGATAAATAAGGGCCAGTCACGTGATAAATAAGGGCCACTTTTCCGCGGCGCCCGCGGGCGCCAACTACAAATTCGTATAGTGCCTAAATATAGCTCTAAACATTTTTTTTCTTTGTTGTCAAATTGATTTATGACATCCTTTTTCCATCTAAGCTGTTTAAAAAATTTTTTTTTTCCTTTGCATGTCCTTTAACTCTTTAACCACCAAGTTATCTTTGAAAAAAATGTACAATCTTTCCCAAATTATTTTATTTGCACATATTTGTTCTTATGTGGTTCTGATTTTTCAATGACATTACTTGATTGGTTTTTGATAGGTATTAAAACAAAAATTTTAAAAGAAAATGTTGAATTTTATGGAAGCTTACCCTCAGTGCATGTAAGAGTAAGAATAACACGTGCCGAAATGCGCAGTATTTATTTGAAAATACGCACCACAACAAAAGATCAAGTGGCTAGACGTTTCTCCGCACTAGCGCTAACAAAGTTCCATAAGTAACGGTTCCTTGCAAAATTATTAGCGCAAGGAACACCATCATCTCTTCGCGGTCCACCGGTTTCCATCAAGAACCCCGCGCTGGGAAATGTGAGACCACATAGCGGTTTGTCTCCGTCACAATGAAGTTGGGAAGGTCCCAATCAAAAAAAAAAAAACTAACCACCCGAGAATGTTTTTTTTGTCAGTGGGTTGCCGAAGAATCCCAGGCACTGCACAAAACAGAAACCTCGGAGGCGCGGGTGGCGGGTTTTCATCGTTTACGCATTGCCACACTTGAACACTACCCAGCGCGTCGTCTTCTTCGTCACTGTGGTCGTCGTCACATCCGACTCACTTTAAGAGACAAATTCGATCGTCGCTACTGTTCGAACTGCCGCAAGAGAGAGCCCGTTTCCGAGGGCCGTCACCGGCATCACTCAAGCGCATTGCCATCTCTGATCACTGTTGCAAGGCTAGATACGTACCAAAGGCCTAAACATGCTATATTTGCGCGACCTTTCCTGCCCTCCAGTGTTGAAAATAGAAACTAAAGCTGATGGACGAACCTGTCTTGTGTTTGGCAGTGAAAGCAAACCATCGTTTTGGCTGGACGAGTGTGACTCGTCATCGGTGATATTGGTACAACCTTCCATGACGAGTACAGCTCGGGTTGAGTGGTTAAAGGGTTAAGGAAAAATGGAATCGCCTTGCAATGGCTTTTCTTCAAGAGCTACCCAAGTTCTACTATGTTGATGTGACAATATTTTCCAAATTGAGATAACCCTGTCCATTTCTCGTCCTATCGGGTCCATTTACAGTCGCCGACCTATTATTCGGACTTGGAGGACACCCCTGAAATTGTCCGAATAATCAAGAAACCCAAAAATTCGGTAGATGAAAAAACTTGCCTTTATTACTCCCTAGTAGGCTTTAAAAAGCCGTCAATAGTGGCTTGCTGCATGTTACGCCTGCTCACGATGATGTCTGCTTGCATTTGCGCGAGCGTCGTGTTCTCGCCGTACACATTCAACACCAATGTTAATACGTTCAAAACGTCCGCTCTCAATGACCGCGGGCGGTAGTCGTCGTCGGAGTCTCATTTTCCGCTGATGCGAGGGACGAGACGAGATGCGAGGCGCAAATCCACGAGCGCAAAATGGCGACTGGCGACGTCAAAGTGAAAGGAAACAAAGCAAAAAGATGATGATGATGACGTGCAGCTAAATGAGCTAAATGGAAAGAAAGGTCTAAGCATAGCGTTACCTAGTGGTAGAACTCAGGAGTACTCAAATCACGCTGCCAAACCAAGCCAATCCATTCACAGCCAACATAGAATTCAAAATGGCCGCTCCTCGGTGGTGTTTCCTGCTGATCGCTCGCGACGATTTTGTCCGAATAATCAAACTTTCGAACTTCAAGTTGTCCGAAACATTGGTCGTGAATATACACTATTTCTATGGAGTAAGTCACGGTTCCTCCTTTAGGTCCGAATTATCGAACAAGTCAGAATTATCGGAGTCCGAAAAATCGGTCGGCGACTGTATGGCATTTTACATACACCACAAGCGCTCCCTTGTTTTTACTTCTCTGATGTTCGACCAATTAGGATGATAAGATATGGGAGCAGAGCTCTCAGTACAATACGAATCGGTTCATTCGTCATTTTGCAACTTTTACCCGCAACACAGTACTGCAAACACTGTTTTAAAGTTTCACCAGTTGGCAAAGAATTAAGCTCCAGCATGACAAAAGCACGAAAGTCGTCGTCACAAACCAAATTTCGCAATTACCGAGCCTGAGCAGCAATTAGGCTACATCAGAACAGCAATCAAATGGCAGTGACTCCAACAATCACCTGGGCGTTGGGCGGGGTGGCGGCGGGTATGTCGAAGATCTCCGCGAAGAGCGGGGGCAGCCGCAGGGAGTGCCAGTGGGGCCGCAGCCAGGCCAGGTGGCGGGCGTGCGCCAGCCCCAGGGCCCTGAGGGGACCCAGCAGGCACAGGGCCCGGTTGGGCAGCCCCACGTCCCCCGGGTGGTTGCGCCCGGCCTGCAGCCGCAGGGCCTCGCACAGGCGCCCCTGCCCCAGCGAGATGGCCTTGCTGTCGTACAGGCCGCTGCGCTCTGCGAGGGCGTTGCGTCGGGCACCTCAGAACCCACCGGTACGGCGCGAGAACGTACAGGTCATAGTCCAAAGCGAGGATCCACGAGTCAGAGTCCGACGTGAGAACCAAAGAGTTCGACGTGAAAACCTATGGTCAGCGTGAACCCCGCACAGGTCAAACGTAAGAGTCAAGGAGTCTGACAAAAGAATTTGGGAGCACATTTTTAAGGGGGGATACGGCCACGAAATTCCATTTTTTTCCGAAAAAATGCATTTTCAAAAAAATATTATATTTGGGTTCACTATGTTCGGAAGCATAGTTTCAGAAAGTTTTATTTATAAATGCGCAGTATTTATTTCGCAAAAAATTATTTTCGGCAAGCTCGCGGCCGCGCGCGGCGACCCGCCGAGCAAGCAGACGGCGAAGTTCGGCATTTTCAAATTAGGCCTACTCCGCGCTCGTTCGACGCAGCCGAGATATCTTACCCTCATTGGAAGCGCCGTTTCTTCTAGTTTCTGCCCATAGAAGCTTGCTACGTTTGAGGCTATCTGTGTCCCGGGAGAACCCCGTACATACAAGCAGAAAAAACGTGGGAACTATGATACCAGCAATCCCATTGGTTGTGACCCGAAACAGGGCTCACGATTGGCCGCCTGCGTGCGCTATCGGCAGCTTCTTTCGCTTCTGATCGTATCGCTTCTGATCGTATCGCCAGTTTGCCGCTGTTTAGATTCGTTTTCCCTCTTTGTTCCCGGTAGTTTTTCTGCCGAGAAATGCCTGCTTCCAAAGTTAGCACTCGCAGTAGCTTTGGCCGGCGTTCTCAACGGCGGAAACAAAGGGCCGGCGGAGACGGGGACCCGTCTCCGCCGGCACCATCGTCGCCGTCTCCGCCACCGTTGTCACGATCTCCAAGCTCAACTGGTGCTTGGCGGACATCGGAGCCTACAGCTTCATCTCCGAATCGGATGTGCTCACCACGTTCGAGAGGAAGCTCAGCCTGCGCGATTTCGACGCGGGGATTACGGACGACCCGGAGCTGACAGACGCTCCCGTTGAAAAGCCCCTGAACGGCTCCTCAATGTGTCCGCCATGCAGACTCTTGTTGCGATTTTACTCTGCCTCAAGTGCCACGGAAAACTACTGAGCTTGCAAGAAGTTGACATCAACGTTTAGTTTGTTGTTAGCTGCTCGACTTGCGGAGACATCGTCGCGACACCGCACTCACCATCAATCGGCAAGTTTCGAGAGAACGAACTCGCGGTACGTCTAGGCGTCGTTGGAAGAGACTGTGGCATCAGTTTCACAAAGTTCACGAATCTCTTCGGGGGCCTCAAAGCAACTGCCCTCCTCATGCTCATGTAGTTGAAGGTGCCACCAATGACTCGGGTAAATTTCGAGTTTCTGGCACCGTCCGAAAATAAAAAAAAAACAAGTTGAAACTTCAAACGCATTTTTCTCAGTTTCACTTTTTGGCAGGAATTCTTGTTTTAGGAAAGCTATCATTTGACATTCTGAATACAGAGGGACATCACTCAAGGTTTTCTGTGACTGAAATTTTCTGGGGAACAAGATAGATTACTTCACAGTTCAAAAAATCTATTCCTTCATGAAAAAAAAAATTTTTTTTTTAAACAAAAAATTTACATTTTTTTTTTAAATTTTAGGATGTTCTTATTTTTGTTATAATTGAATATTTTGCAATTTATTTTTTATCTAGGTTGCACTGTGGGTATTGTTCTTCACATTAAAGCAAAAAGTTTGCCACCAGCTAATTTTATTTTTCTACGATAGACTTCCTAATGAAGTGTCTTTTTTCTGAAGTGCGAGAACCGTAGCATGCTGTAAAGTTGACCAATAATGCCAAAACTTTGCAGATTATCCTTCCTCATAGTGCTGAAATAACCCTCAAAATTTGAACCAAATTGGGTGAAGGGTTCAAAAGTTGACCCTCCCAGGCCATATCCCCCCTTAAACATAACTTCAAAAAAAAAAAAAAAAAAAAAAAAAAAAACCTTGTGGAAAGTTTTTTTTAATGAACTTGAACCAAAGAGTTCGACGTGAAAACCTATGGTCAGCGTGAACCCCGCACGGGTCAAACGCAAGAGTCAAGGAGTCAGAAAAAAGAATTTGGGAGCGCATTTTTAAACATCACTTCCAAAAAAAAAAAAAAAAAAAAAAAAAACCTTGTGGAAAGTTTTTTTAATGAACTCTAAAATCGTTCACCTTTTTTTTATTTTGAATTTATATAAAGATTTGCATTAATTGCACTTCAACAGATTTCTTTTGTTTGATACATGTTTAGTGCACCAGAAATAGGTCTTATTTCTGTTGACTTCATAAACTAGGCAGGGGCTGGCCACGATGTGCAAGTCCCGGTGTGTGCTTGGACTCCAGAGTTTACAATTCCTACTGTGGAGTTTCTACTCGCATAAATATCTCTCCGAAGTGCAAAGCTGCTTTTCTGGTGGCATATTCTGCAGCAGGCATCTAATGTCGGTTCAGGCACCTGCATTTGACTGTGTTAAAACAGTTAGCGTCGAGCTGCTGCCATGGTGACCCTTATACCGAGCCAACGGGGGAAGTGCCGTGCTGCACAACACCGCGTTGTGCCGCACAACACGGTGGACGCAACTGTGTCAAAGAGCTTAAATGTCTTTGAACCGTTTGCTAACAAGTCACAGTGTAATGACTCGGCCACCTTCCTCCCAAAAAGAATACCATTTATTTACATTGTGCAATATACTGCTTGTTAAATATAGAAGATAGTATGAGCATGTGATTGCCATCATTCGGCGCTGTGCACCGAATGAGGGCAGTCGCATGCTCTTCCGCTATCATGACGAAGGGCATTTCAGCGGACTTGCCTGACGAAGATGTTCTTCAAAAGGGTCTGTGTGGTTCATGCTCCAGCCCATTCTACGAAAAACGGCAATTTTTTAAATGCTTGGCCAGCTGCGATCATTGTTTTCACACCGTAAGTGCACCAAAGTGCATGTCGAAGAGTACCGCACATTTGTGGAAACTGGTTCCAACACCTACGAGTTGTACCTCCCGCAGTCGACACTCGGCATGGCCAAATGACCTCAGAGAAGCTAACGGCTCAACAAACGCCGAAAATACACCCGTGAATTTGCATACCTTGTGAACGGCGAGTCGGTTTCTTCGTAGGTGGCTCGAATGTTTCAAAGTATTCTGAACAAGCTGGATTTACTCAAGGCAGGAGTCAAGCGCTATAAGGCAGACAACATTAGCCTTCAATACAAACTGTCACGAATTCACAAATGCCTCCCAAATGCGAAACCGGCTGGGTCACGCCTGCCTTGTGCTGCGGTTGCGTCGGGAATCAGGAGTGCCGTTCCACCTGTGCGACCGCGCCTAAAATCCTCCCTCATTTGTCTTCTCCGACTCAAAGTGCCTCCGACATTGGCGGGCCTTTGAACCAGTAAGCCAGTGCATCGACAGAAAGTCCGTCGACGGTCGCCAACCATGAGAACCGACTATGTTCACGTCAGTTTCCCCAAACGGACGTCAGCGAGGACGGCTTTACGCTGTGGAAGCCTCGACGCCATGGGAAGGCGTCGAGTGGGACCCCTAAGGGCTGCAAGGTAAAAGCTGCGCCGTGCCGGTCGATGTTGAAGGCTCCGTTTGTCGATCCGGACACATCGGTTACAGATGTGCTCGACAATATCAACCCAGGGGCAAATACTGCCACCTGCGCTGAACTTGGACGATATTCACCTAGTACGCTTCTTTCCAAGTGTCTGTGGACGACGAGGCATTCAACACTTTAAATTGCCCCGAAATCTGGGCGGAAGGAGAGCCACCCGTTTTGCAATTCTTCGGTAAACTTGACGTCTCGTGTGTGTCCAAGTTACTAGACTGAAATGGCAGCATCAAAGAACACTGTTGGGGTACACTACCCAAAGGTTCGCGGCTTTCGAATCTGGGTAGACGAATTTTTGGCGAACCTCGTGATTTCCTCTTTCGACGCTGTCTGTCTCACAAACTTGAGAAGGGCGGGAGTCGCCGCAAGAGGTGCCAGTGAGATCGCACTTAGGCCAGATGGCGGGCGTGTGCCAGCCCCTGCTGGCACATGCCCGCCACCTGTCATGAAATATAAGATTTGCAATAGTTTACGAGAAACTGGACTGCGCTTCATTGTGACCGTGATTATGTTGCAACTGGACAACGGTCTCGAGCCAGTTCGAGGCACACCGTAGACATGACCTTGAGGCTCGCGACGGGTGCGTTTCACTCGAGGTTTCATAATGCGACCGCCGCAACTACCTTATCAAAAACTATTATTTATTATTAAAAACTATTATTCAATCGCAATACATACCAAACCTTTAGTTCACACTTTGACACATTATTGAGTGAAATTGATTTCAGCAGATACAAAGTGCAAATGCATGTTGAGTTTAATTTACTGGGCTCTAGGCAGGTTTGAATGTTGCTATTACCTTACAGCAGGGATGCTCAAACATTTTCGTCCCAGGAAACCCCAGCGAGCCTCAACAAGTCCCAAGGAACCCCCTCCCCTCCATGTTGCCAACTGATAATACTGAGCAATAAAGGCAGTTAGATAATGAACAAGAGTTTATTGCACTGGCAGAATAAGACAAGATGCAGGACTACAGACAGAACGAAAAGGCAGAGGGTTAACCTGGGGCACAATGAAAAATATATATAGGTACATATTATTGCGAAGGCCGAGGTTGCTTTGTCCACAACACCAACTCAATGCACGGCTCAGTCTGCGAAGATTAAACTAGGGGGGGGGGGGAACACTGCAATTTGGGTGCTGATGGAGCCCATGAGACCAGCTCGTGGAACCCTTGTGTACCCCAAACCCAGTTTGAGAACCCTTGCCTTACAGAAAGAAAGGCGTCTTGTTTCTTGCCGCTAATAATTTTTATGGGCTTTGCCGACGCAATGATCTCATGAATGCTTCAGGCAACACATTTGACTTGCTCTTACCTAACTTCCCTATCGACGCGCTCGCATCATCATCATCACCCGCCCTTGGAAATCCAATTTTACTTGCGCAGACTTGAAAAATCTATTTATAACTATCAAAAGGTACTAGGTTACTTCAGCCTGTTTATGTATATTGAATCGTAAGCGTGGTCCGAGGTATAAGATTGAGATGACGCGAATTTTGCAGCCAAAAAGTCCACATCGGTGATGAAAGAAGCTATCGACCAATATGTGCCCAAGAGGCAAGTTCCCGAGCTTTGTGTTGTGTTGTCCTTTTTCCCCCCCAGTCTCGGGGTTTTGTCCAAAATGTTAAACCTTCACCAGCTTGTTCGCACCCTAACTTTTTGTTTCCGAGCTGGTTTTCGAGAGAATTGAGGACGGCTTTCCGAAATAAGGCTCGTTTCCATGGCCTGTTCAAGAGGACAAATCGGCGAATTTGGTACCAAAAATTTAGCAGCTTTCACTCCCAGCTAAGACATTGCTTGCTCATGATGGATACATTCACGAAAGATGCGTCGAAAATAGCTCCTTTTCTGATTCCATATCTTTCTCAAAATTAGTCAACAGTAGAAAACGCTTGTGTTCATAACTCTGCTCTTGCCATTTTGCACCACTTTGTTATCAAGGCAAGCGTGAAGTTCCCCCTTGCTCTCAAATATCTCGCAGCCAGAGAACACCGACGAAAGGAGCGCCGCTGCGTGGGAGTGAGCCCGCTCCAGCGACATGTGCGGTGGGGTTCTAAAATTTCCAAAAAGATTATACCATATTTTGGGGGCACCATAAAGTCACGTCCCCCGGCTAAATTCAAGCAACATTGTGAAAGGTTTTATCCCGACAAACAATTTGAAAGATCACCATTACATCAAATCCAGATTTTTTGTAATAACCATGTTCAGCACAATTTCTTTTTCGTGCCTTATTTTACCTCTGAATAGCGGAATGGACTACCAGTAATACGATTTATTATGACTTAGGCCCTCTGATGGTCTACTTACATGTTTCATGTCCTTGTACGTTGAGATTTTTTTTCCAGTTGGAAGTGATTTTTGTAGTGCACGAATGTCAAAACAAACCTTCATGGTAATTTTGGGCATGTAATATACATCAACATCGACAGTGCGCCGAAGAAATAGAGATGAAAGTGATAGAAGTACACGGCTGAAACGCTTAAGCAAGGACATAACCTTCATATCAAAATATCTGTCCACATTTTACCGGAGAGCTTTCAAGGTTCATAGCACCCGACACACTCTTTGCTGCAGTACTGAAACTGGTCTTGTGATGGCAGGCACGAGAAATACTTCTTACCTGGCAAAATAACAGCTTTTAGAGCGATAATAATAATAACAATTATATCAATTGTAATAATAATAATGTCACGTGCGTGTTTATACAGCCGGAAGCTAGTCAGCCTCAATGAGCGTCTGGTCTCAGCTGTAGATGTGAAAAATTTAGCCAATGCAGTATAACCAGTAGCCTGGGGTCTTTAACAGGAACCACGCAGTGGTGACATCCAGGTCGAAACAAGCAGGGGTGGGGATTGAGTCTAGGATCCCTAGGTTCCTGGGTTTGATAGCCGTTACAGCAACACTTTGCACGAACATGCAATCACCAAATGTTTACATTTCTATCTCACGGTTTCACAGCTGAATGGTTGCCGTCCAAAGAACTACTAGCGTAGCTAAACACCTACGCACAATTTGTGCGTTGTACTAGTTGAGCTCTGGGACTCTGAGCACTACCTGTCCAAATTCTTGCGCTCAAAGACTCGAAGCAAAGCCTGCCCAAGCCTCCAAGCCCTCGAAATACTAGACATGAAACAACAAATTCAATCCATTGTCAGATGAGCTCGTAGTCAACAAGTGTCATTTTAAAAGAGAGCTAAGACTTGTAACCAAAATTATGTATTTCATATACATTTTCACTTCAAAGGAAGTAATAAACGACAAAAGCTAAATAAGAAGAACATGGTGAACATGCATGCATTGTTGTCGTTTTTTTTCTTTTTTGCATACCAAGATGATGTCTAAAAACGCACTCCCCAAGAATCTAAGAGTCAGATGTGAGAATCCACGAGTATAGCGCCAATGACCGCGGCAGACGTCAAAGTAGGGGTGAAAGCGATAGTTAGTGAACGGCGACCACCAAACTCTTAGAAACAGGGCTAGTTTCGAGGACAAGAGGTCCCAATCTCTACACTACAGGTGACTGCTTAGCAATTTAGTATCTGCCCACATTCATCAAGTTACCTATACTACTCGTGTTCCTGGGATGCCACGGCTCTTCCAAATAAAAAAATAAACATTTTTTTCAATATCATTATTATGAACATACACCTATAATTTGGGGTCAGGGGCAAACAAAAACAAAAGGTCCCGTCGCGCAAGACCTCGTTTCTACGATTTTGCATTTGCCTTCATTACAAAGACTCATTCTTTCCCAGACGTCACGGTGCACAAAAGCAGACACAACTTGCACGGGCACACGAAAGAAGACATACGTGGTGCCGGATGACCCTTAAATGCCTGCGCAAATTGTGCATCTACCTTTGTGCACCGTAACATCGAAGATACGAACAATGAACTCGCCTAAACAGCAATCTCGACATTCTTCTTCCTCCAGTTACACCGACACCGTTTTGCCCGCACTCCCGCCCCTTTAAAGGAGATTCCTCCATTTTGGTAATGCAGTACTAAAAACTAGCACAAAGGTTGATCCTTTAAATACCGTACCACCCGTCGCTCGTCTAGTTGTCGGCGCAAGTGACAAAATGGTCTCCACCATGGAGGTAGGAAGATCTTGGAAGCGACGTGAGGCCACCAGAGGTGAAGCCAGAAGGGTGGAGGGACACGCCCCCCAACGACGACCAAAACCAAGAGACGCTACTGGACGAAAAGGAGAGCCGACTTCGCACCAATAGCTGTTGGTGCGAAGTCGGCTCTCCTCACTACCAGTAGCGTCTCTTGGTTTGGTTGTTGTTGGGGCGTGTCCCTCCACACTTCTGGCTTCAGCTCCGGTGGCCTCACGTCACCTCCAAGAGATTCCTACCTCCATGGGCTCCGCGGAGCGCACGAGAACTGGCACCAGCGCAAAAAACCCGAAACCCCAGCCAAACTCACCGTTGGTGAGCAAAACAACCGCAGAGAAGAGGCCGATCTCCGTGTCGTTCAGCTGCAGGTTGTTGAAGGCCACGAAGAAGTTGAACATGGCTGACACAAACTCGTGCTGACAGGGAAGAGAGAAAGAGAGAACGCCCATGAAGTAGCCCGGCTTCCGTCGTCCGATGGCACGAAGAGAACGGGGTGCCGGTCGAATCGTCACATTTTGAAGCCTTCCGCCTCGTTCAGAACTCCTCTCACCGAAGAGTGAATCTGGATCAGCAGGAATACGTAACTGGTTGTAGAGGCCACACAATGAAGGATGTCCGGAACCGTCTCAAATCGCATTGCGGCAGTGAGACTGCAGATGCCACGAAACGCATTAGTCCGTCCGGGAGCTGGGCTTTCCACACAAATATCAAATAAACATTTAAGCAGTCATTTATCGAACGGATAAGTCATCTCTCATTCGTCGATAACATTCGCCAAGCAAAAAGTTGGTCGCATCGCATCTAGACAAAACCATTACATCTAGTCGAAACCCAGGAAGACCCTTGCTCTCGCTAGACGAAGACTAGACTCCAGGAACTGTAATATCCACGAGCACACGTAGAATGATAGATTGATAGTGAGGGTTCTATACTAGAAAGGCCGAAATTCAGCCAAAAACCACCAATGATTTAGTATGAGAGGCGACGTCGCGAGATTATACGAGACGCCTTGGCTCAAAGTCGGTTGCACCGTTATTTTTGCCCGTCGCGATACGAAGATTCGACACGCTACGGTTCTAGACAAATCTTCACGTGCATGGGTGTGCGACTCACCTTTTGGGGTCCCAAGCAGGGACAGTATCCTGCCCTCAAATAGGCCGTCCGAAAGTGGGTCAATGACCAACAAAACAAAAGCCTCAGTGTTTCATATGAGGATATTGAGTGCAAGGCACGTGCAGTCGCTACTGAACTGAACACTGCTCACAGCAAGTTGTAAGATTTCAAAGAAGTAGATCCCAAACTACATGAAGCGCAATAGGCTAAGCCTGAGGAGGCGAACAACTGTATGCCAGAAGCTGCCGGACACCTACAAGCAAAACATGCAGGAGTTCCATCGCTACGTTGCTGACCTCCAAATGTGGAACAGTTTCATGCCCGGCCAGATTGGCAACGCCAATCAGATGCCGGTTCAGTTTGACAAGCCGAACAGAAGAATCGTAGCCGAAAAGGGTTGTCGTCAGGTGAACCTGCTAACCACAGGCAACGAACACAATCACTTTAACGCAATGTTGTGCTGCGCGACCGATGGCCACAAGCTGCCCCCATACCTGGTGTTTAACCGGAAAACAATGCCAACCAACAAACAGTTTTCACCGAAGGTGATAGTTCGCGTGAATGAGAAAGAACTTTTCAAGGAGGAGACTTAAAGAGTGGTTTCGGCTTGTATGGTGTAGGCATCTGGGTGCCCTTTTAAAGCCGCAGAGCATGCTTGTCCTGGATTCTTTCGTTGGTCACATCACGAACCATGTCAAAAAGATGATCACGAACGAAGGATGCAACCTGGTGATTATCCCGAGGACGATGACGTCCATCCTTTAACCCCTTGACGTGGTTCTCAATAAGCCCTTCAAGGACCGCGTCGGGGCCTTTTACGAGTGGATGGCCCAGGAGGACAACCCCAAGACGCCGACAGGTCATATGAAGCGTGCCTCATTGAGCACTCTGACCGACTGAGTGAACGATGCCTGGTATGGGCTGCCGGAGGACATGGTTCGTGCAGTGTTCTCCAAACGAGCGATTTCGACGCCACTTCCCCCATCCGGCCCCTCTGACCCACAAGACAGTGACAGCAGTGACTGCGTCATCGTGACAAGCGAGACACAAGCCCATAGAGAGACCTTATCTGTGTAAATAAATGCGATATTAATGTAACCTAACTTGCTAATTAAAAAAAAAAAAATCTTTTCGTTGGCGGTTGTTCAAAATTTGGGAGGTTGACTTATATTCGGATTGTCTTGTATGTGGCAATATACGGTAGTTGTGTGCCATGGAGGCGAAGGCAACACCAAGCGAAGGGAGAAAGGATGAGCACTAGGAAGGCCGGATGGGAGAGGAGGGAGATTGGAGAAAGGGAGAGCAGTAGGGACGTAAAAAGGAGAGGAAGTTTCTCTCCTCCGCCGTAGCCTTCTTAGTGATTGCCCTGTCCACCCTCGCCTGGCGTTGCCTTCGCCTGTACTGCACGCAACTAGTGACACGGAGTATGGCGACGTCGGTCGGGCACCTCCAACGACGCGGCGAAGAGAGAGCGGTGCCCACTCACGTCGAACATGAGCTCCAGCTGTTGACGTATGAGGTAGGTGCCGTCGCTGAAGGTGAGGGTGTCGTGGGGCGCCCCCACCAGAACGCCCCGGGACACGTGCACCAGCCACACCTCGAAGAAGCCCGCCTGGCCGACGAAAAGGGAGAAGACGCGCCGGTTACCGGGACGTAGAGTGAACCGAGCCGCAGTGGCTCGCAGAGTCCTACTTTATAAAAACTAACACCGATTGTGATGGTGGCACCACAACAAGAGCAGGAGGGAAGGCATCGCAAATGTTTCAGAAAGCCTAAATATTAACGCGCCGGCCGGCTCGGATGCAATTAATTACAAAGTACTTAGAAATACAGAGTGCACATCTAACGAAATATTCAACCTACTACTTTTTTGACGATCTTTGTCCGCTGGCCACGTCCCACAGGAGTGGAAACTCAGAAACGTTGTTCCCGTCTTTAAAAGTGGAGAATCGCAACCTCGCAGAAAACTATCGTCCCGTCTCTTCAACAGGTGCTGAGTGCAAAATACTCGAACATGTAATTTTTTTCACGTGTGGCGTCCCAACTGGAGTTTAACAACTTCTACAGATGCCAGTATGGCTTTTGTAAGAGTTTTTTCATTGAGGAACAACTGCTCGAATTCGCCTGTGACTTGCATCTTAACATGAATTGCAACTCTCAAACTGATGCAATATTCCTGAATTTTTCTAAAGCACCCGATCGTGTTCCTTATTGTCGTCTTTTGTCCAAGCTCTCTTCACTTCATCTTGATTCCCTAAACCTGTCGTGGATTCACAGCTTTCAGTAGGTATACTGTTTGTGGTGATTACTATACTTCGTCTCACCTAAGCATGGATTAACTGCGAATACTGCGCTAGCGCGAGCGGCTAGCCTTGACTGGAGCACTCGCTGCACGACCGCTCGTGCAGCTGCCTTCATTCGAAGCAACTATCTCGCGTTTTTAGCACGTGCGGCTAACAATAGTCCATACTAACGTGAGACGAAGTGTAGTCTGACATTACTGATATACGGGGTCCTCGCGAGGAATATTTTAGGGGTGGACATTACTACCATATGAGTGGTGGGGTAGCGGTGGGGCGTGTAGTTTGCAATGCGGCACGATCTGGCTTACCGACAAAACATACTTTGTGTAGGATCTCTAACTTTGCAGCCCTGTGAGTGATGCCACGCCGCGGTGATAAAACAAAAACCAAATTGCCTCGGAGAAAAAAGTGGCGAGGGAAGCCAAGAGGCGAAGATAAAGCAAGCCACGGCGCCACGAGCAAGCATTGAGCAGCGAAAGAACAATCGTCTCCGCTTTCTGCTCTTTGCCACTCACCGCCTGCGGAGAGAACGTTTGTCGCGTCTGCTTATTCTGTGTTTGTCCTCTGCCAAGCACCCCCTCCTCACCCTCGCTGCACTGCCCGTGGCACTCTGCAGCTCCGCTCTCTTTGTTTGAAAGAGTGGCGGCAGAGGGCGATGTGATAACACGCGATAACCTGGCGATGTGCAAGCCTGCTGAATACGACGGTCTGCAGCCACATGGGCTGGCAAAATCGCACAGTCATCCTGTGGCATAATCGAGCGGTGGGCGGTCAGCCAGAGCAACGGGCAATCAGACGGGGAGCAGTGGGCGGCAAAGCAACTGCCGGCCACCATGGGGAGAACCCTACTGATAGCCAGGATTTTGATTCAGGGGCAGCCAGTCTATGACAAAATGCTGTATGAGGGGGAGGGGAGGCCCCAGCAAAACTGAAGATTTCGGGAGAAAGAGGGGGGGGGGGCTGAGCATTATGGGCCGGCCAGCCTGCTGCCGCCCCGCCCCGCCCCGCCCCGCCCCGCCCCGCCCCGCCCCGCCCCGCCCCGCCCCCCCGCCCCCCCCCCCCCTGGATACATGTCTGCCTGCTGATATCTCTTTGGGAGTTCTGCAAGGAAGCATTTTGGGTCCCTCGTTATTTCTCATTTATATTATCTATCTTTCCAATTCATTGTCCTCAAATGTATGCTTCTTTGCCAAAGAATGCTGCATTTTATACATGAACAATCCTGATGACCCCTTACTACTTCAGCATGATTTGGACCACATTAAAGGGGCGGTGCAATGATTTTAACACTAAACGAATGTGCAGCTTGTATTTTTTATATTGTTTACTTCCGCATAAGTAAGAGAAAAAGTGCCACCATACCCCAAAATATCTCTATTTCGCTGCGTAATCGTAAAATAAAAAACACTTTTTTTCCCAACCTGCGGCCACATGGCCGCAGGTTGGGAAAAAAGGGAAATGGAACCTGTGGTGTGACGTCCTTCGGAGTGGTTTTTGTAAGTGATAGTGTTAGGCAATTGTAAGCTTGAATTAAGGTTAAGTTTAAAAAATATTGTTGTTTAGGCATGCAGAAACGCTTCAAAAGCCTAATATTGCCGCTAAAAGGGTATGAATTATTTGTGGCGCCATCTACCGCAAGTCAACAAAACCTGCCGTCGCCGTCATCCGTCGACGCCCGAGGCGCCTACGGCGGCTACACCGCTATACGAGCAACCCGGACATTTTGTCTTTCCCTCGCTCGACGGAGTCCGTTGGTCGTGGTCCGTAGTATCGTGGTATCGTTATTGTTCCTGGTGTCTCAACCTCGACTTCGACTTCGACTGCCTGCCGCGTCGCAAGCATCTTGCGCTCGACGTCGCTCAGGCCGTCCACTGCCGTCCACCCATGCCGCCATGTTGGTCGGAAATCGGCGGGAGAGCGGCGAGCCTGGCGAGCCGGCGAGCGCTGGGGAAACGGAAGCCAGAAGAACCCAACCGGAAACCAACGCCACTCCGAATGACGTCACAGGCGAAGCTGGTGTTGCTTCAATGTTGAGTTGAGGGGTGCCAGAGATACCAATTTCTTTTATTTTTTTTAATGAAAACTAGGGAAAGCAGGAAAGTATAGTTTTCGGTCCTTCGTTTTATATGTGGCTGGGATCAATTCCCGCAAATAATTAGCCGAAGTCCACAAATTGTTGCACCGCCCCTTTAACAACTGGCGTGATGATTGGCCAATGCTACTAAATAGAACTAAATGCCAGGTGATGAATATCACTCGCAAATGTTCTATCTCACAGTTTCCACACTCTTTAGGCACTCCATCTCTAAGTGTATGTTCACCTTACAAGTATCTTGGTCTCCATTTCACATCTAACCTTCGGTGGGTCACCCAAAGCAACATGTCACATCCAACGCATCCGGAACTCGCGTGTATATAAGACGTAACCTTAGAGCAGCCCCCGACCACCTCCGAAAAGTGGCTTACGAAACATATGTCTGCCCCAAACTATAATTTGCAGCAGTAATCTGGAGCCCTCAGGAGAAATACTTAACCACTTGCATTGAAGCAGTTCAAAATCGCGCAGCACGTATCATAGCATCATCCTAATCCTTTAACGCAAGTGTTCCTCCCCTCGTACGTTAGTGCTTATTACTCACCTTGATGAGTATGAGCTGGTCGTCCTGCACGAGCTCGAGGAATCCTGGCACCCTCTTGGCGAACTCGACCACCCTCTGGACGGAGGGCGTCACCAGGGTGGCAAACTGCTGCCACAGGCCCAGCTTGCTCTGCTCGGGGCTGTCCGGGAGGGAGGGCCCGCCCTCGGCCCCGCCCCCTCCGCCCCCGCTGCCACCGAGCTCCTCCAGGCTCTGCACACCGCCACCGGAAAGTCACCGTACTCGTAGTTGCCGATGGGACAAAGACGGAATGGGGTGTCTTTGGGACGCCCTACCTCAAGCACACCTTCGATGCCTGCCGCCTTGCTTTCGCTGTGCGTGCACATTTGCTTTGCGCATCGTGAGATGCCCAAGCGTTATTAAGGGTGCTTCTGCTGGAGGTAGGACAACCTAGGGTGCCTACATGTTTCCGCTCCACTTTAGGGTGGCGCCAACTTCTTGTTACTCTTTCCCAGATCCTTTCCCACCGCCATTTCAGAGCGCAGCTCTTAGGCGCCCGTTTCCGGCTTGAGCGGTGTCGCCGTCGGCGTAACCGCGCGATGCGTTATAGGACGCGTGACGTCACTGATGACGTCATCAGTGACGTCCTCGGCATCGTCACTGATGACGTCATCCGCATCCGCATCGTCCCTGATGACGTCATCGGCATCCACATCGTCATCGTTCCTGATGACGTCATCGTCACTGATGACGTCATCGGCATCCGCATGGTCACTGATGACGTCACTAGTAATTATGACGTCATCAGTGACGTCACTGATGACGTGACTAGTGATTATGACGTCATCGTCACACGACCCCCGTGAGGTCACGTGACCCTCGTGAGGCGACGGCAATGCCGCTCGGAGGGAGGAGTAGCAGTCAGGATGAGGAGGAGGAAGGAAGGATATACCTTCCCCTCAGTACCCTTCCCCTCCTCCTCCTCAAGAGCTGCGCTCTAATTCGGCGTTACAAGGAGTTCTAAACGGCTTTCATTCTTTTCACACTTCTTATTTTTCTAAACATAACCAACGTTGAGTTTCTGTAGTCTCGAAACACCGGCAACACTGTGAGGCCACTTCAGTTTCCGTTCATAAGAGGAGTCGGAGGCTCAGCGGGATGGCGGTCATGGTGGCTGTCACTCTCTTTATTCGGGTGTTTCATATTTTGAAGTGGCGAGCAGGAAGTGTGCGTTGTTTTTAACGAAACGCAAGTTCCCGCAACAAAATGGAACGCACACCTGCCAATCTGTTGACTTTCAAATTCGTAAAACTCCTGCAGCCGCAGGAAGGGGGGGAGGGGGAGCAGTAAGAGGCAGGCACTTATCCCTGGTGTTTACGCGAAGCAATGTACAGCATGATGTCAGCCTTGCCACCGTGCGAAACGCTTACATCATGCATGCACGTGCGACAGAATCCAAACTTCTCTCCCTTCTTGGACGGCACGAAGCTCGGGAATTCCAACGTGTAGGATTTCAGGAACACCTTAAAGTACCTCCTTTGAAGTTTGGAGTTCGCCATTGCGCCGCGAAGCCACCGCGACTAGGGAAATGCTATGATTATACGTGCAACAAACACAGACACCGCTCTGCTTGCCACGAAACTGGCCGAAACAGCGAGGCTTAACACGCCTAACCAACGCGCGCCGCCGAACAAATGATTTGGATTGGTTATGGATCCGTGGCCACCGGGTAGACTGATAGTAAGTAAATTCAAGCTTTGGCGGATGTCGCGTGTGAATGCGACATCCATCGTGACACTGGGAAGAATGGTCTCATCTGAAGCGAGTTGGTAAACGCACTCGGCACAAAGAGAGGGACAGAACAAAGAGGGGCCACTCACGAAGATGGCCGGCCGGCGTGCCAGGGAGCGCGTCTTCTCCTCGGTGTAGGCGCAGTGTGCGTGGTGTGCCTGGGAGATGGTGAGGATGATGTCGTACATGGCCAGCTGCTGGGTCTCCAGGTCCCTGGCGCACTGCTCCTCCTGGCCGGGGCTGCCCAGGGACGCCACCCCCGCCTCCCTCGTCCCCGGACAGCGGGGCCGCCCCGGACGAGGAGCCCCGCTCCCGGGACCGCTTCGGCACCCGGCCGTAACGCACCGCTGCGTCCGACACATCCGTCAGACATTCAACCACTTCCGCCCCGCAACTACGGATGATGCAGACGGTCGTAAAACGTCCAGCGCCTGCCCACATTGCAACGGACGCCCACTTGCTGCTTTATTGAGAGTTTAAAGGATGCGCAAAGGACGTGCCGAGTGCCCACACCCGGATAATTGAGAAGCTCTTCTTGGAACTTAATTTTAATTGTGGAGAAGTAGCTAGGGTGTATAACTATGTTATGTATATTAAAAGACTATTCTTCGCTATTTTTCTTTTTTTCTCAGTTTTCGGAAGTTAGCAAAAAAGACTGCACTCGTAGACGTTTCTATCAAAATCTTGAGCTCTCTAAACAAAGGCGCCTATCTTTTCTTGCCGTGTTTCATCGCCTGCCCTATATACCCCTTTATAGTTGTTGAAACAAGCACCCGAGCGAACGACATGAGGCTTTTTCATTCGAGACGTTATACTCCGTTTCGCCGTACGACGGACCGCAAAGGGCGTCACAAGCCTTAAATTCCAATCCAACAGCATGCGAGCCTTAGGTGACCTTCAATTGGGGCGTGGCTACGCACGGGGCAGCATGGACCTGCGATCGTTCGGACCGACAAATTGGCTGGAACGGCTCGTAACGTCTGCTAGACTATCGTAACGTAAAACAAAGTCATTCTAAGGTAAACGAGGTCTCGCTAATGTGGATACTCTGCTATATAAACAAAAGTTTTCAAAGACGAACTGGGTAAATACAGATTTGGGTCTCGCTTTTATCGATGACTCACATTATCAACGATTTGGAGGGGCAGCAGGCAGAGGCATTCATATTAATGATACACGACAGTAGAGCACAATGCAAAGCACGGGCTGGACGTTAAGCACTGTGCCAGCATTCAAATCAAATTCGGTTTGAATCAATCTGTCTGCCCGCTCAGTTCTGAAGACCCTCGGTATAATCATCTTACGAAGGACTTTACCCACGTCGGTGCATTGTAGAGGTAGGCCATGTCCCTATCATATTCAAGTATTCTTCGCTGCCACTGACACACGAAAATGTAATACTAAATTTTTGTTCCTGTAATTGTATGGCAAAGGTTAACTGCTGCTTGAAACACTAGATTGATCTGACTTTTAGAAAGATTCTATTCGAATAGAATACTGATTTGATACAATGAAGGTGTGGCGAAGGCCATAAGCACGACAATGTTCGTGCGATGGACATTGTTGTTGTGGCCGGCCATAATCGCAATGTTTGCATTCAGAAACTCAGACTGCAAAGACAATGGTTCCCGCTTAAAATTTAGTTCATTCTTCTTTCATAAACTGGGTTACCAAATTGGGCTACAAGGCTACCATTTATTCAAACTAATTTTATTGCCCCACTTGGACCACGCTGCAAACGTCTCTTCTAAGGCCACTCCAATGAATAAAATAACGACCCCTATTTAAAAGAAAGTTGTGGAAAGTGCCGTGGTTTTAAGCAATATTCAAAAGCAAATACACTGTTCAATAAGTAGAGTCCTGCATATCTGCGGATTACCCTCAGACAGGGCCGTAACCAGGGGGGGGGTTAGGGGGTTCTGACCCCCCCCCGAAATTTTTTTCTGGGTACGGCCCTGGTCGGTGCACTTGCAGCCAGCCGATTTTAATCTCCACCTCTGCGCACGCGCAGTGGCACCGGTCGGCTACCGGGTACCAAACCGGGACCGGTTCTTCGGTTTGCTATAACTCTCCATTATATGCCATCGATGCACATGATTCATAAGCCGGGAACACATTTGCGAAAAAAAGCCGAATTTTGTGCGAAAACCGCACACGAAAATTGCACGGCAGCTAGGCTCCTCCCCTTTTCCGAAAATCGGGAGCTGTTCGAAAGATCTGCAGCGCCAGATATTTTCGCACGGCGCCTCCGAATTCGGGGCTCAGGAGCTCGGTGAGCGAAAGCCTGGAACAGGACGGAACGAAACGATACGATCGGCTCGCAACGTGGCGGCTCACGCAGCTTCGGAAGCAGCGCAGGCAACATCGTATGCCATCCCTGCGTTCTCGTCTCAACCTTCGTAGAAAACCCCTTCTGTCTCTATCAAAGGGTGGTGGTACAAAGTCTCGCGTGGCATTCAACGAGGTTTTAATAGCTGAAGTTTTTAAGGGGCGCGAAATGCGGGACGCCAGTTCGCCAGACTACCGCACAGCCTCCTAAAGTCGGAGCTCCGCGCCGCGCATTCCACCTCATGTGGCTCGTCTTCCGCAAATCGCAAGCTACGATTTTCGCAGCCTCCGATTTCTCTCCGATGTTCGGTTCGTTTTTTCGCAAATATGTTCCCGCCTATAGGCGAAAATAAGACAAAATGGCCGCCGTTGTCCTCGAAACCCCCCCCCCCCCCCCCGAAATTTTTTTCTGGGTACGGCCCTGCCCTCAGATATCCGCAGTCGACTGGCGGATGCGAATGAAAATTAATCAGATTTGGAAGCTGGCGGATCGGAAGGCGGGGGCGGATGCGGATTGGATATCCGCCAGTCCGGATCTACATTTTTGCCGAGGCGTCTGCGACGTGTGTGTAAAATGAATAAATGAGTGATACTATGAAGTGTGTCATCAAATGTTTTGAGGGAGCAAATTACTCTCTTACAAAGAAGGTGCCAATCGGGCAGAATATAGTTCTTTGCGCCAAGAAAGATCCAATTCTCACCAAATATCGCAAAATAGATTGCTTCAGAGCGTTCTAGTATCTTGCCAAAATGCTGTCCCTAGAAAAAGTAAAGAATGCAATGGTATCAATCGTACCAAGAAAGCGTGCTCTTGTTTGGCAGGGAAAAGCAGAAAACGTTCTTCGGGCAAAGAAAACCCATAACGTACAAGCCACAAGAGCCACAAGTAGAAGCCTCCTCGACAAGTGAAATGTGGCGTATGTGTGCATTTTTTTTTTCTCTCAACACTTGGCAAGCTGCTAAGATTGTGGTTCGGAGCACGCAGTTGCAGGTTTGTGTTTAAAACTAAAACCTATAGGAAGTGCAGTGAATGACCGCCTTTCCCCTCTCACTTCTTTTACTGTTTGACCTGAATTACGACATAATGTTATTAATCCACTCTTTATTAATTTTCATAATTAGAAATAATGAATCTGTTCAAAAAAAATGTCACAAAATAAAAACAATTTTTTTTTAGCTTGTTTTTTGGAAAGTGCTGCAGACTCCCAGGACGATCTCATAACTGCGATCATCTTTTGAGCAACGCAACGCGCCCGTGGAAGGATGATCGCTTATAATATAAATATGACAAAATGAAATACAATGAAGTGACTTTCACCAATTTCTGGCTATAACCGGTGACAGGTCAAGAATGAAGTGAAAGCTCCTCCCACCTCTTTCCGCTTTAGTAGAGCGAACGCTGGAGAGGAAGCGACCTCCTCTCCACCATTCGCTCCGCTGAAGCGGAAAAGGGTGGGAGGAGCTTCCACTTCGTTCCTGACCTGTCACCGGCTATAGTTCTTTGTAGAATGATAAGCAAACGGTTTATAACATACCATCTAGAATCACTGAATGTTCCCAGAGTACTGAAACTCCCAAGCTTCGTTTCAGAACCGAGCCGCGGCGCGGCAGTCGAGCTTCCAGACAGCGTAAGGACGGCAGGGAGGAGCCACAGCTGTTCTGCCTCTTGAGCACAAACTTCCTACCTTACACAATGCTTCAACGTCTCGTGCGCCCCGAGTGAGTGCGCGCTGCCAGAGCATGGCGGAAGGTACTGAGCGCTTGCTTGAGGACGGGCGTTCGGAAGATACGTCCTAGTGTGTTCACTTTATCAGTAACTATAGCTGACGGCAGTTTGTTGTGTTTTCCGGCTAAGATGATCACTTGGAGCACCCTTCAATGCCACTGTTTAGACGCCGGAAGGCAGTAGCGGAACCGCAAACTGTCGCAACGCTCGTGCTGAAGCGACCAGAACCCGAAACAACGGTCGAGTCGAGCTATTGCCGACAGCCAGGTTGTGTGGTGCTGTAGATGGGTGACGCCACGGGTCGTCAAAAGTAGACGCGGGAGAGCAATGTGAGTTTGTGATACTGCAACGACCTCCCTTCATATTTCTCGTTTCCAACGTTAACATCGTTGCGCACGCTTAATTTTAGATGAAAATTAGATTATGCGAAGATTCTTTTCAACGGGATTGAATGCCTCGAATCTGGACGTGTGGTGCCGCTGCGTGATGAGGCGCCAAACCCGGCTGTTGACCCGACTTTGTTGTTTGCATCGACGTGCAGCATCAACAATTAAAGGACATCTTTTTCAGATTTTTCGTGGGAACGAGGCTACGTCTTGAAATATAAGGTAAAGCAGACCACTAAGATACATATGTAGGAAAATGTTTCAATTCATACGTGCAGGTCACAATTTTTCTGGCTAATTTCATGGAATATAGGTTGTTCACACCACCCCATTTGTAGATTAACACTGACCATGATCATTTCATGGTATGTATTCATCCAATAAGCTGGGTCTTGCTTCAAATTAATTTCCACATGCCAATATGACGAGGCCGGTACAATGACGTCTCGTCGATGACACCTCCGTTCCCCAGACTATTGACTATAATCCGAGTCTTCCGTAATAACAAGACAAAAATTTGCATATTTACCCAATTCGTCCCCAAAAGCCTCGTCTATATAGTGGAGCATCTATATTAACAGAGTCCATATTGTCGAGACATGAGTGTACCCTAACCTTTTTTACTTTGTCGACCCTGCTCGTAGTATACCGCGTGCTAAGGTTCAGTCGGATGACGATGAGCCAGCAACCAATGGCAGCAATACTTTTTTCAGTACTATATTACAACAGCAGTTATAAATGCTTACGATATGATTGAGAGACTTCCAGAGCTAGTCTACATGCACTGCAGCATGCAACATGAGTTGAAGCAATCAATAAAAAAAAAGTCAGTTCAACTTTCATGGAGCAAGCAAGCGCCACCAAATGCCTACCAAGGTACAAAGTGCCAAGTTTCATCTCAAAATCGTAAAGCAGCACTGCAATTGACGGCCACAAAATGGTGGCTGCCCTCAACCGAATAGAGCTGGGGTGAGCAAGCCTGACGGAGCCTGCTCATAAGTAGGGTTCCCCGTTTTCAGGGTTTATTTTTCTTCAAATTTTGTCCGAGTCCGGGACGAAGCCTTGATAGAGCATGGAGAGGAGAATGTAACGCAGTGTGCACAGTTGCCCACCTCATGCGCGATCGGCGACTGTTCTCGGAGCAAAGACTTTCCTCGGTGTGTGCTCAGCGGCAGCTAAGAGTTATGAAGACTCTCGCTTGCGGACTTTGTGTACTACCGAAGCGGCGTGGGGGCACGAACAGTGTGCAGAGCAGGGCGGAAAGCGACAAGCGAGGTAAACGGTTGTAAACCAAGGGTGCGGGACCCAGCAGTGACAGGAGCTAGTTGCCATTATACAGCGCCTCATTGGCAGTATAGGCACAAGTTCATGGACAATCAGTTCTAAGCAGTCTCAGCAGTCTGTAATATTTCAGGGCAGATGCGAGGGAATATGTTCTAAATGCTAAGCATTTAAATCGCCTTTGGAAAATGCTATTTGTTTTCTCATGGCTTAAAGATGGCTGAAACAAGCCAGTCGGAGAGTTCGGTCCAACGTTTTTAGATCTATTAATTGACAATCACTGCAGAAGAGTGTCTTTCGAAAATGGTTTTTCTCCGTGGAATGAACGCAGCAGGTACGGCCGGCTAGCCTTCCCAGTGCCGCCGGCGGCAACGGAGTAGGATCATTTTCGAGCTAAGCTGTTTGCACACAAACTTTATGTCTACTATAAAAACGAGAGAATGACTTTCCACTGCAGGCAATGTCCAGTGGAAAGTGTGTGATGTTGGATGCAATGTGCATCCAACATTCCATCGGTTTTGCCGCTTCTGTCCACAGGGTGGACCGATAGTGTAGCGAGCGCCACCGTGCGTACGTGCCACGAAAATGTGCCAAGCATCCTAGAAAGCTCTTAGATCGGCTTTGACCTAGCAACGCCGAGCTCGGTCGGCTCGATTACCCGGCTCTAGCGGACGCCACGAAACGCGGCGAACCCCGACGACGGCCCCGACTCACAGTCCCTAGACATGCCCACGGCCAGGCATTTCTTGAAGCGGCAGTACTGGCAGCGGTTGCGGTTCAGCCGGATCACCAGGCACTTGCCATCCCTCAGGCAGCGGTACTCGATCTGCTTCTGGATGCTCCGGCGGAAGAACCCCTGCAGGTAATCATGCCACACGTCAAAACGAATCCGATCAATTTCTACTTTTCTTCTCAACAACTCGTCAATATAAACAGTAACGGTGTATTCGCACAACCGAGTTTTTCGTTGAGGAGGTGACGAAACGTCGTAGAGTTCCAAGGTCACGCATCTTCGTTAATTCCCCAAGCCCGTGCGGAGCCGCGGAGAATCTGCGGCTCCGCACGCTCCGGAAACATCAAGAAAGCAACAGGGCTTTACCTTGAGGTGTTCTTTAGTGTGAAAACTCGCAAGGAAGAATGCCCATTCTGTGCCATCATCACTGAGAGAGGCACATGGCAATGCCAGATGGCTATCTTTCTTCAAAGATATCTATCTGGTTCGCAAATTAAGGATCCCTTTCTAGTCGGTAATTCGGAAGTAGTAGTGGAAGCTTTTAAGAACAATAACTTCAACAACCACTCCTTTTCAGCATTGACATACAAGACCTTTTTTATTCCCTTCCACACGAAGCATTACTGACCTTAGTCAAGTATTGTATTGAAGAGCAAGGGGAGCTCTTCTTCAGAAACTCTAGCGGTGTGTCTTTAGAAGGCCTTCTAGAACTTCTGCGATTCTATCTGAACTCTATGAGAGTTGGGTGGAAAAATGATACCGTTATACAGCAGTCAGGTGTGCGCATAGGATCATGTGGCCCCCGCACTCAGTGATATTTTTCTAGCAAGTGTTGATAGAGTAACTGATGGTGTCCTCATCAAAAGTGTCAAAGGTGTTTTGATATGTTTACGATTTTTTGCTCGAGTATTCCAAGTCTGCTGAAAATAATAATGTTGATAAGGTTGTGAGCATATTTTCCAGGCGTGGCTTTGGTCTTAAGTTCACAGTTGAAAAAAAAACTTTGAAAGGGAAGTTACAATTCCTAGACCTTTCGTTTTCTCATCATACAAACCATATCTGCCAGAGTTCCTCACCTAGGTCAAAAAAGGGCATCCCTCATTATACATCAGCACATTCAAAAGTTGTTATTGCGATTTCTATACTTGCTGTTGCGCTTATGAAGTCCTGCTTTCACACTGTTTTTGAAAGATTTAACACTCAAGTTGAGAGACTCCATACGTCGGGCTTCCCATCACAGGTTTTAAACGAGGTGGGGGGGGCCTTGGTACGCAAGACTAAAGGGATTCAGCGATAGAAAGCCTAGAGATCAACAGAAACAATAGTTGTATCATACAAGCACAAAACCTCGCATAATTTAAAAAGGGGCAAATCTGTTCAAAGGTTCGCTCGATAGCGGAAAACTTTAAAAAAGTCATGTGCCAGAAATGCCACAGCCACCCTTATGTGTCGTGCCCAATCGGCGTTGTGTACAAAATCCCACTAATGCGTGGTAGAAGCTATGTGGGCCAAACTGGACGGTGCCTAAACGATCGCCTTCTCGAGCATGATCATTCACTAAAATCTACGGTGGACAGTAATCTTCCCGTACATTGCAATATGATTCTTAAAGTCACAACAATAATTGGGCATTATCGAGACAAGACTACTCTCGAAATCTTGGAAGCACAATGCATCAACAGCATGGGGGACTGCTGCATTAGCCACCCATCAACGACACTGCTTCAAACCGAAACCTTGTTTTTACATCAGACTATGGGGCAAAGACATTGTGATTAAATGTGTGACAGGCACTGCATACCCTGCGCGTCTTTCAGAACATCCTGTTCTCCTTCCTTTTGTGTATAAATTCAGTTGAGAGTCAGTGCTTGTGTGTTGTGCATGTTACTTTTCTTTGTCCTTTTCTTTTTGTGCGCTGTTCTGTTTACCATGTCATCATCAAGGGTGGAAGCAAGCTTTAGCCTTTTGTAGCAGGTCTGGGAGCAGCAAAGATGCCCCTTTGGTGCAGCTTTGGGGCAGTAAATGTTCTGCTTTGGAGCAGCTCAGGAGCCACAAAAATCGAGATTCGTAGCAGTAATACGTAAATCTTGAAGCTGGTCACCCAGGTCAAACTTTGGGCTATAAACACAGAGGTGTTTTTCTAAATGCAGAAATATCACAATGAAAAGCATCTCCATTTGACGGTCCAGAACCATTTCCAAACATACCCTTTCCTTAAAATATAACCCAGCCCATAGCCAAAAAAGCAAACTTTATAGTTGCAATTTATAATAATGGCTATTGAGAGAGGCCCTGGTAGCAGGTTGGTTCCTTTTAAAGATTTCCAATAGAAGGCATAATCAACAAAAGAAGCACAACTTAAGCCTCACGAAAACCAAATGTTGTGCCTATTTAACAACTGAAATCAAAAGTTCCATAAGTTAAACATAAAACCATTTCAAGATGCAATATTATGGTATGAAATAAAGCCCAATAATTACTGACTAGTTTTCATTATTGGGAAATACGTATGTTCCAAGTCCCTGTTTAACAAACAAATGTATTCCAATACTCAAGGCAACAGAGTTACTCCATCTGATAAAAGTACAAATGCAAAATATTGAAAACTTAATGATATCATCCATGCACATACATACGTGCTTAAGCTCATACACAAGCGCTAAGAATAAAAAAAAAAAGATTGTTTAGAAAACACGATGAGGGTGCAGGCAAGCTGGCGAAAGTTTAACATATTCTTATAACTTTTGGTTGTTTCAAGATTTGCTCACCCAGTCTAAGGTGTTTTAACAAAATTTTAACGTTATGGATATTCAGCCCCCTCAAAAAACGGGATGGTTGATTTCTCGGGGGCGTGCGTTCATACGAGACTTTACGGCATACGCGATTCAATGGGTGGGTGCACTGAGCCACGTAACCAACTCAGCGCCTCTGTGCGAAAAAAAAATTAAAAAAATGATAATACTGTATTTTCTAGGCTATAGTCCGCGGACCATACATGTTTAAAAGTTGAAATTTCTGGCTGTGCGGACTATCTACGCGTGCGGGCTATACAGGAACTATGTTTTTCAATATCGTTGATTATGACGAGATGGAACGGATTTTGTGAATAAAAGAGTATGTTATTGATAATTTATGTATATTATAGGCTTTTTTTGTGAGCTAAGAAAACATACATATGTCAAGGTGTGCCGCGTATGAGGAATTTCGTGTCGACTATGCACCAGGTGCGGACTATGCAGCGGGTGCGGACTATCTTAGCAAAAACTTTCATTTTTGACCCCAAATTTGCCTCTGCGGACTATACACCGGGTGCAGACTATAGTCTGCAAAATACGGTAATAAAAAATTACACTTAAACAACAAACTCATGTCTCAGTCACCTGCTTTAACGTTAACACAAGCATTAAAAAAAAAACTTTTTCTGGCTAGTTTTGGCGCAACATTTAGGCTTCAGAGCAGGATGGCGCAGCGAAAGTGGATTGGCGCACAATGGCGTGATCGACGCAGCGCTTCCACCCCTGCATCATACCAACTCGCCCAACATACAACACTTCGGCAACATGCAGGAGTTACGATTTCTAATCGGAAGACCCTCTTTTCGTGCAACTGACTGCAGGGACACGATGCTGAGTCTTGGAACTGACAAGCAATGAGCAACCAGAAGTGACAAGTTTTCGGGTCTCACGCGAATGCTACTGCATACCGTCCTACTACACACGACTGGGGTAGTTGCGAGGTCACTTTATTTCCACATTCTTTCCAGTATGATATGCAGGCTGAAAGCAGCACATTACAGGCAGCTTGGTTTTCTATGTGCACATGATGCCTTGCATGAAAACGATGTCAACCTCCTGTTGAGGCCTAAAGTCTGCCAAGACAGACCTCCACATTACTTTATACGCAATTTCACGATTCATTCCGTTTATATAATTAGGCACTTAACCTTTTACGGTACAATTAAGACAGTAAAAAAAAAACCTTTTATGATAATAACGAAAAGGCTGGATCTGCTCTTCGAGACTATGCTGCAACCGCACCAGGGTATCTTGTACACATTACTACGGCTTGGTGCGCGCGCTGCACAACTGGCTATGCAGTCTCATACTTGGTGCACAACACCCTCAAAGCTACTGACACGAGCCTGCGTCTTCATACAGCGCTTTAATTGCACACGCTTTCGGGCAAATGACACTAATGAAACTATAAGCTCGAGACAGTCTTGGGTAGTAGCACGTTGCTGCAACTTCATTACATTTTAGCTAACTTGTAACTGTAACGCGCTACTTTTTTAAAAAGTAAATTGTGGCTGTAGTTTAATTACTTTTCCTGAAGTGATGACGTAAGCAACAATGTTACTTTTCGTAATTTCTTGGGAGTTAAGATATCATTCACTAGAATCGAACCATTCCTTGTACTTTTCAAATTATGTGTTCCGACATCCTAAGCGTCGCGTTTGCCTTGCGTCAACTTGCAAATACATAGTTTCTCACGACTCACGGCCCGGTTATAGCCCTGTGTGAATCTGATGCGAAAAACGCAGTTATCTTTAAGGTCCGTTCACACACTCGCGACTCCTTAGAACAGAGTGCCTTGAAACCTCTTAAAATCTCTTACGACGAGAGAACACACTGGTGCCACCTATCGGGCAGCAGTGGAATGCTTGGCTGTCCCGTATACTTCCCATTTCTTTCGCACATCATCCTTTCTTTCTTGGCTCGAAAAACTTTTGTCAATGTTTTAAACAACCATTTCTTATAAATTGTACATACATTTGACCTCGCAAATACCACCAAACCTTCGCTCTGGTAAAATGCAGTTCCAAGGTCACCGTATAGATGGCGCCAGCGTGTTCTCTCGTCGTAAGAGATATGAAGAGGTTTTAAAGCACTCAGTTCTAAGGAGTCGCAAGAGTGTGAACGGGCCTTTATGCACGTGTTACGGAAAAGTAACTAAAAAGTAGCGCCTTTTATTCTTTTCTAAAGTAATACACGTACCACACGGGCAACTCGAATACCATTTACAACGAATGACAATTGAGCGGACGGCCAATCAGCGCGCGACACTCCGGGCGTGGCGCATTCCATGCGCAACAGATTGCGAGCTGATTCGCCGATCACACAAAT